TCTGATCCACTGTGAAATTAATGTATTTGTCGACTTAAGTTTCTCAAAGTTTAAAAATTCTCCGCCTTGGCGCCATTCTTTGAAAGGTTTTCCCAGTTCAAACTTTTTTTCCCAGTTCGAACTTTTCATGTACCGAACTTAATAGCTATTTGGGTCGACCCAAAAGCCAACTCAATTCACTTTTATGATGTAAAATGGTCTACAATGTTTACCAGTAAAAAATAATTACAGTAATTTATGCATTAGGTTCGGCGCTTGAAAAGTTCGACGTTTCAAACCAAGTCGCTCCTCAGTCGAAATTCCAATGTGGGCCACTCGAACTCAATTCAAGAGTAGACCCAAATAAGATATGTCGCTCTTAATCGATTCAAATGCCGATTTTTTCATATACTTAATTGAAGGGATTAGAGACGGTACATGAAAAGTTCGACGTTTGAACTAGGCCTATCAATAGACGAATTTAAACTAGAGACGAATTGTCGGTTTAGGACGAACAATAACGCTCTCAGTAGTGTAAGACTCGCTTGCTTGTAGATACGTTTTGTTGTCAAAGGCTCTTGTGCTGTTATGCTATTTTTTCGTTTGGAATACAAAACGAGTGTTATATGTCATAATGTAAATATTCAAAACGTAAAAATTGAAAGGAGAGACAGGCCGCACGTCTTAGCTTCACACCCATGTGAAACCTTTGAAAACCTTTTACATATTGAAATTGCTCCAGTGAGGCGGACTCTTTCAGGGATTTTACACTCAAAAAATTGAACGATGATTTTGTCAGTATAAATATGTATAGCTTCTCTGTAGCGGATACGGCTCGGTACAGTTCTTGTTCAGCACAGGAGAAGTGTGCAAGTTTAGCAGAACCTTATACAACAGACAGTTAATTCAGTTCGCGTGTATTCCTGTTGAATTTGTTGTCAGTTTTATAAAATATTAAAATCGCGTGAAAGTAATTAGATTTTTCATGGCTGCTTATATAGTATCTGCTTTTAAATCTCTGTGCATTTGATGTTTACGCGATCTCAGAGCACAACGTTTAGAGCTGTACACAGCGTGCATTTTACAGTAGACCTGCACCGTTCTAAGCCTCTTATTTTATTGGTGCCCTTTAATCTGCACCTCCATTGTTTTCAGGGATAGGGGCATTGTTATGTGACAATCCCTATTGCTCTCCTAGCTTATCACAAACAATCTTTCAATTAGGTCCGGGATCGCCCGCATTTTCACAGTATCACTGGCCGGGGGATAAAAGCGTTTCATTTTGATAACTCTAACTTAACTATTCAATCTCTTACCCAGATCTCTAGCTTGTTGACGAAGCCGAAGGCGAGATCTGGTCAAATCCGATTTGTACACGTGATCGCTCGCCTGTCAGGAATGTGACAGACGATAAAAGAGCGAACCCTCGTAATAAATCCTCAATTTCAGACGCGTTAAACAACGAATGTGATAGAGCCATGAATTAAATTGTCTCTAACAAAACATGGTTATACGCATATCCTACGTATAAATAAACTGATTTGCTGTTGTTTTTCTTCGTAACATCAAATTCCAAGCGACAGCTAGTTAGTTTAAATTTTATTATCATAGCTCGCGCTAAAAGCTCACTTCTAGGCGAGAATTATTTTTACCCTTTTGAAAGGTCTTAATTTTGATACCGAAAGAGAGTTTTAAAACGTCTTTAAAGATGAGATAAAAACGGTTTTAAAAGTTATATTGAGCAGAGGGAAAACTATTTCTTCAGTGAAAATAATATTACTTGAACAGAACTGAAGACTTTGCAAAGAATGAAATGCAAACGCTATATCGCTCGCAGGAGACAACACTCACGTCACTCGGTTACAATCAATTAAAGCCAATCACAAAAATTGCATTTTCTTACTAGACCAGATCTCGCCTTCGGCTTCGTAAACAAGAGATCTGGGTACGAGATTATTGACTATTTCATATGGAATATTACATGTAAATTATTTGTTCTTTATGGGTAAATAACTGACATCCTTATTTAAGATATACTTCAAGATTGTCTTAATCTAAAAATGTCGTTAACATTTGATTTCAGACTTCCGAATATTCCTTTTTGTTCACCATGAGAATTGTCTCCGTTGTCATGTTTGCAAGCTTGGTTGCAATGGGGTTGTCACGGCTTATAGCGCCATGTAAGTGAAATTAAAACATGTTATATATGAACCCGTCTACTTTTACTTGTAATTCTAATGGAACGATAAGTGAAACTGTGATTTAGGTGGTGGGGGTGGTGGATAATTTCAATGATCCAGTTCCCACACACAAGCACACTCCTCCTCTAAAGGTGGGCGGGGCTAGTTTAGCAAACATCAAGAATTTACTTGGTTAGCCACAAGTTTAAGGTGGCTCCGTAATTAATACAAGAGCATTTAACTGTGACAAATTTTCCGTCATAACTTTTTGGTTTTTAACGCGATGGCTGCGAAACTTGGCAAAGAACAACAGATATCATTCGGCAATAACACAAAATATTCCGATTTCACTGATGGTAAATATTTCTTGAGAAATTAGTGCTTAAAAGGACCCTACTGTTCAAAGAAAATCGCTTCTAGTAAAAAATTTTGCTGATATTTTGTACTGAAATTTCTGGTATCGGCTTTAATTGATATAATAAATATGCCAGAGGAATTTCAGAAAAATCGTTGGAGCAGAAGTCCGTAACTAAAAGTCGGTCAAAATTCAGCTGTGAAATTGTTTTGGAATCTCAAATTTAATTACTATCAGGTAGAAGGAGCCACCAGTTTGAATTTTCGGGACAAGTAAATTCAACGCTTGCTAATTCTTAAACCAAAAGCCGAGTGCCTATCGTGCTATTCTTTGAAAGGTACTTTTTAGTTTTAGAAGAACTATAAATTGCTCCAAACCTTGCTCTGAAGTAGAATGACTTGTTCGTCGACAGTTTTAAAATATCCCTTGGCAGTTTTGGCTCAAACTCCTGCTGCATACATTTTGATGTATTGTCATGCATTTTCATCGACTTTTACTGCCGTTCGTTGCTTCCAACTCAGGAAAAAAGTATTGAGATTGGACGCTACCTCGTATCAGAGCTCAGAATGAACTGTCCAGCACCTTTGTTTATGACTACAAAGTGAGCACGAGCGGCAGTTCTGCGTGGAATTCGCACCTCACCCAGGGGGGACGAACGACAATGATGACCATGCTTGTGAACCAAATAACATCACAGTGCAAAATAAAATTATCGCAAAAATACTGCCCGTGAATAAATTTACAACTCTGAAATTTTTGTCACTCCTTCCTTTGATGAATGGGTATTTTTTTCTTGATTACTATGTTTTGCTCTGCAATACATGTTTATACAGATCGGTTCACAGACATGGGCATCATTGTCACTCGTCCCCCCTGGCTGAGGTGCGAATTCCTCGCAGAGCTGCCGCTCGTGCTCATTTTCTGGTCATAAACAAGGGTACTGGACAGTTCTATCTGAGCTTCGATACAAGGTAGCTTACAATCCCAATACCTTTTTCCTGAATTGGAAACAACGTAAAGCAGGAAAAGCCGTTGGGGATGCTTTGCAATACATCAAAATGTATGTAACAGGGGTTTGAACCAAAACTGCCAAGGGATATTTTAAAAATGTCGAGGAACAAGTCATTCGATGTCAGAGCAAAGTTTGGAGCAATTTATAGTGCTTCTAAGAACTGAAAAGTACCTTTTAAAGAATAGCACGATAGGCAATCGGCTTCTGTTTTCAGAACTAGGAAACACACTGAAGTTGCTTGTCCCGAAAATTGAAACTGGTGTCTCCTTCTTCCTGATAGTAATTTATTTTTGAAATTCCAAAACAATTTCACAGCTGAATTTTGACCGACTTTTAGTTACGGACTTCTGCTCCAACGATTTTTCTGAAATTCCTCTGGCATATTTATTATATCAATTAAAGCCGATACCAGAAATTTCAGTAAAAAATATCAGCAAAATTTTTTACTAGACGCGATATTTCGTATTATTGCCGAATGATATCTGTTGTTAATTGCAAAATCGTAAAGCCTTCACGTCTTCGTTTATTAAAAACACCGTAAATGGTCAAATTAGTTACCGGTTTAAACTCTCCAAATGTTTAAATATTTACTATTATACGCACCTTATAACTTCATATATATGCGCTTAACGAGTGTCTTTTGGTCCATAACTTTTAAAATAGTTGCTGCACAGAATGTCACTGATAACACGTAACATACGCGCGAGCTACTAGTAACCCTAACCTAGGGATTTTGCCTTCTCGGCGAAATCCTGCGCGGGCAATAATCTGAGTTGAGATGGGAGCGCTAATGTAAAGGGCTGCTCCAATTTGAAGGTGGTGCTTATTTCCCGCATAGGAAACATCACTGTTCACAAATATTGATTTGTTATTCAAATTTTGACGATACGCTTCTGGTTGGCACATTAATGTGAATAGGTGACGTCAGCATGAGCATCGCTATTGGGTACGATATTTTGGTTAGACCTAGATCAGGATCCGTTATTCTAAATCCCCAAGATCTTGACCCAGCAAAGCACTGACCGCTGACTCCACTCTGGGCCAACATTTTATTGGTACTTTTGATCGCCCTTGATCCAAGTGTTCAGGTATCACTGATCGTAATCTGGATCAAGCCAAAGAAAACGCCGTACTCATATGTGAACGTCCACAAAAACGTATCTGTAACATCAAAGACATGCGTGTGGTCGCTCCCAAAGTCCCGTTTTTTCTATGTTTGTTTGTTTTTGCATTATTTTGTCAGTCTAATCAATTGTGGTGTTTTTTCTATTTCTATACGCTATATTTTTTTGTGTTTCTTGGGGAAGGAAGCATAATTAACGAGATACATGTAGATAGATAGATAGATAGATAGATAGATAGATAGATAGACAGACAGACAGACAGACAGACAAACAGACAGACAGACAGATAGATAGATAGATAGATAGATAGATAGTTCCTTTTAACTCTGCTGTTTTCAACTTTTTCAGCCGAGGAGAAGAAGAAACTATGTGCAGCTATAGGCCGTCCCGATACACGTGGGTGTGAAACGAATAGCCCTGATAAATGCGTTTCTTATGGCTGTTGCTTTAGTTACGATTTTGCTACGTGCTTTAAAGCTCCAGGTATTTCTTTACACTCAGTTATTTGTTATATGATAACAATAGTCGAGTAGAGGTTACACGTTCTGTGGTATTGTCCCCGTGGTATATTTAACAATTATTGAATGAGGATGAGTAGGATATGAAGAATTATGGAAACAGAGGAGGTTGTTATCCACCGAGGCGGAAGGCCGAGGTGGATAATATCCTCCAAAATCTGCATTATTTGATATGACATCGTACTACAGCCAAATTCAATAATTCTTTTATTATTCATTTAAAATATTCCTAAGTTCTTAACATGATTAAATACCTCCTCGTAAACTTTCTTAAAAACCTTGGCCTATTTCAGCTCGGCACCGTTTCAGCATAATTATAAACAGACGCCTTTGATTTTGTTTCAGATACTTATCAGAAAGTAGATATAATATCCATCGAGAAATATGTTTTGCGTATCTTGCATTTCTTCCATCAGTTAAAGTCAGAAATTTAGCTGTTATGCTTCCAATAGCCGTTTACGCTATTTTGTTCGTTTGCTATTGCCAGAGCAGCCTCGTTTCCAATCCAATATATCATCTAATCGATGGCACGCATCGACTCGTCTCCACTGTCAACTGAAAAATAAAGAGACGCAGGGCTCAAACTAACAGCCGGACAACGGACAAATAGTGTTATTTTTAACAGTTTTAAGGTCAGAGAAGAGAACTGACCGAGCTATAATCTCTTTGGCCGGTCAACATCCAATAGTCCCAAATTTATTTTGAGCCCTGAACTCAGTATCAGAGTCTATTTGCCGAGCACCCCAACTGAAGGGATGATTGGTTTTATTGAGAATCAAGCCAATGTCAATCCATGATATTTGCAGATTCAAAAAGGAGGGTCTGAATGAATTAGTGTTTAGTGTTATTTGCCCATAATTTTCAGTGTTTACAGTTAATTTGGCCAAATTTTTTAATGTTTACTGTTTCCGGAAAAAATGCTGTTTAGTGTGTGGAGTGTGGAGGGTTTTCGTAAAAAAAAAACCAGTAGTCTTTTAGCGTCAATTCTTGTCCGGCTCTTGAAAAATTTTCTGGATTTCTTCTCTGAAATCTTCGGTTGTCTTTGGACATCTTCGACAGTCTTCGGTGGTACTTTGGAATCCTTCAGCAGTCTTGGGGAATCTTCGTTAGTCTTCGGACATCTTCTGAGATAATCGAGAATTGTCGGACAATGGCTGAAAGCTCCTTGATATACCAAACAAAATAATATTGGCTTTTTTGGAACCGCTCTTATTTCATTTTGGAAAAAAAAAATTACCGCTACTAAGAGCGAAATTTTTACTGTTAGGGTTAAAATGCGAAAAATTTAACTGTTTTATGTTTCAGAGCCAAAAAACTAAGCGTTTAATGTTATCGAGGTACCCCCATTCAGACCCTCAAAAGATGGCGGTCACTTGCAGTCGTGACATCACTGAAAATTATCTGACGTCTAACATTTGCGTTGTGACGTGATCTGAATAACTAATTTGCATGGGCGTAAATACTTTTAGGGACTGTGCAATAATTATCAGGAGGGGGGCTGGAAACCAGATGGGGGGTATTAAGTAAGAAAAATGCCAAGATAGGGGGGCGGGACTTAAATTAAAATTACCCTTATTGCAGGGAGGGGGGGCTAACTTTCATTTTATGTCATGTGCATTTGCATTAAATTGTAAATTAAAACAATTCCACATGCATTGTAAAACAGGAAATGTACTCTCAATGCTCAATGTTCTTAGAAAATGTGAAGTTCATATAAAAAAATGTCATCACATTTTAGACTGATGTCACCAGATTTTTTAGTCCTTGCAAAATAATTAATTTGTGTTATAAAATTTCTATAATCTTAGTATCCATTACAAGGCCAAATTCAACTGAAAACATAACTTGCAGCAACATCTATCAACGTCCCAAACAAACCATTTGTACTTAGATACTGTCCTTACAAGACAGTTTTAAGTAAAAATTATCACGAGATCTGGAGGGGGGGAAGAAATAATTTTGCTTTTGCGAGCGGGGAGTGGCGGGACACGAGATAATAATTTCCCCTTTGAAGCTCATTTCTCAGCCCTCCCTCCTGATGAATTATTGCACATTCCCTTACAGACGTGTCAAACGCCTACAATGCAGTAGACCGATCTATATTTCAGAGCATGTTAAGCGTGTCTAGCCTTTGAGTGAATACGAGACTATAGGCTGACCTTTAGTTACTGACACAACCGAGTATTTCTTATCTTATTAACACATTTAAAGGAAAGGTTTTACCAGGGTTCCTCAAAGTTTTTAATGAATTGTGAAGAAAACCAGTTCCGGCCTCAAGTTCGTAAATTTTTTTGCCCTCACAATTGAGCACGGTGCCTAGGTGTCGGATGAAAAACTACAGTCGACTCCCGGTAACTCGAACCCTCTATAACTCGAACTTCCCGTTAAGTCGAAGTAATTCAATTCAGTTCCCTTCAGATCATTTTCCATATAATTTTACCCTCGATAACTCCAACTCCCGATAACTCGAACTTTTTTTTATTTCCCTTGAAGGTTCGAGTTATCGGGAGTCGACTGTATTAAAAATTATACTTTTTTTCAAAACTTTATTGCTACAAAATTTAATATTATCTTACTTTGACTTCATGTAGCTGACGTGTGTGATGTACACAAGTACGACAAAAACAGAAGGAACTGTGGATGGAAAAGAATCACCAAGACGGAATGTGAAAATAGAGGATGCTGCTTTGATGATTCGATTTATAAGAATTTTATACCGACCTACGACTGCCATTATCCGTTGTAAGTTTATTCTTTGGTTTATTCTTTAAATAAGCTCAACCGTACACATCATAAGGGGGACGAAAAAGAAAACCTAAAGATTTCTCAAAGTTTTATTTTAACTGCTCTCGATTTACCAAAACTTTAGCCAGTGAAAGTGAATGAACTTTAAAGGGCATCAGTAATTTTACCGAATAGAGGATGAGTGCTTAAGTAAAGCGGTACGCATCGTGGAAAGTGATGGTCTATACAAAGATAAATAGAAAATTTAACAACAATAATAATGTTCGCCTTAAAATCATCCTGGACTTGAGATGCCTGACAGGGGTGTGTCCCCATTGCGGAAAACACCTTCCTCGATCTGTTTTATTCTTCATATCATACCCAGCCTAAGATAATTCAATAACTGTTGAAAGCTTCACGAACAAACCAAATAACACCAGGGCTCGAGTCTCAAACTTTTCTCATTCTTCCGAGTTCTTAACTCATTGTTTTAGCGCAAACGACAAAATGCTGAGTTCTACGTAAGAGCATTGGAAATAGAAATGTGCAATCAGTTTCTAATAGATATTTGCTGACAAACAGGTGATAAATGCAAGCAAGTTGTAAAAGATAACATATCTGATTTGGATGTTGCCTACGTCACAGGTCTTCGGGGAAGGTGTAACAGGAATTTAGGCGTGCGAAACACGAAAAAGCTTAGCCTGTTCCAGACATTCAAATTGTGGAGAAGGTGCAAAAAATATATGAGCTCCCTCTCCCTCTCTCCCTCCTTATAATTATTTTGTTTTCTCGCTTTCTTACTTTGTGCCGCACTCCACTGTCTGAACGGCTGAGGCAGGCTAGCGAAAGCGAAAGCGAAAGCTAGGTGCGCTAAGCTCTACTATAAGTGTGGGTCAGGAATGTTGACAAAAGGCCTTTCGAAAGGAACCTCTCGCTCTAGGTACCGAGAAAGTTAGAAAAGAGAATGTATTTAATTTTGAGGTAGCCTTTATGGCAGAAATGTCAAAGAGAAGAAGAAACAGAGAAATAAGTTGTACGAGAACACAAAAGCTAGGTGCGCGACTGAGGGACGACTCGGGAAGGGTATAATGAAACCCCGCGTATAAGAACCTGGGTTTTTTAGAACCTGTTAGGCTAAAATTTTCATTTTAAGCCCCCTCCAAATAAGAACCTATTAAGGCTAAAATTCTAAGTTAGGTTCTTAAAGTAACGACATAAATTTCTTTTTTTCATTTTTTAAATGAAATTCATTTGAACTTATTTTAAGTACCTTGGTAGTCTAAATTTGCTTTTAAAGTACCATTTATATAAGAACCTGTTAAGGCTGAATTAAAAAATCCAGGTTCTTATAATAATAATAATAATGGAATTTATATAGCGCTTATACATCGCTGTTCTAAGCGCTTTACAATGTAAAAAAGGACATAAGAATATCATTAATCATGAGCCTACATTTAACACTACTGTACATATTGGGAAATTTACAGTGTACACATCTTAAAAAGGAAAGAAAACGAAAACAAATATGATGAAACTAAATGTCATGTACCTTTTTAAAAAGAAACGTTTTCAGCTTAGATTTAAAAAGATTAACATCAGAACAAGCTCGAATTTCAAAGGGGAACTTGTTCCATTGTCGGGGGGCAGCAACGGAAAACGCTCGCTGGCCATAAGTTTTCATGTTAAAATTTGGTTCTTCAAGGCGTAAATGATCCCTTGATGACCGTAATGTCCTTGATTGATGGTGAAATTTTAAAATATCTTCAAGATAACGGGTACCGAAGTCATTCAATGTTTTAAAAGTTATACGCGGGTTTTACTGAAACACAAGGACTTTCAAAAGGAATCCCTCTAGGTGCCAGGTTATGAAAACGTTGATAAAGAGGCCATTTCCGAGTTGCTGCGAGCCTCTGTTTCGAAGCGAGGCTAAGTGCAAAGCCTTTCAGTGATAAGAACATGGTTTCTTTTTGCTGTCATGCGAATAAAACTCACAGGTAAAAAGGTATTTTATGTGACCTCTTATGAAAATGACAGTTTTTGGAATTGGGAAACGGTTTGTTAGATCTTATTTAGAGTAGAATGGTTATGAAACGCGGCCCTGTGTCAGACACCTTTGTTACATGTTTTTTTTGTGGACTTGACGGTGATCAAAGCTCAGTGGCATTCCTATCATTTTTATCTTTCTATTAGCCAATGGTTACTAACGTCGCATTGAATCGTTCGGTAACAATTTGTGAACAACAAAACAGAGGATTGTGCACGTCCTTCAGAGAGCTCCCAATATTTTATTACCTGTCTCCGCTACTTACTATGATTTTAAGTTTTTAAAATTGAATTTAGAAATATGGACTATAATTTGGTATTAACATGGAAAGGAAAAAATAAGCTTGTCTTAGTTTATAAAAAACGAGGATTGCTTGTTTGTTTGTTTGCTTTTTTGGGGTAAGACAACACGTGGCAAGTCGTATGAAATGAAACTGTCTTGTTGATAAAAGAAGACGAGTTTTCAAGGCTGACGAAGGAGTTAGTTGATAACAAAGTGGAGTTGGATGTAAAAGATGTTTTATTGTGTTTACATTAAATACTTAAACGCGTGATACGTTATGATTGTTAGGGACATGCCGAAATGCATAGTTTCTAAAAGAGAAAATTGTGGATATGGAGGAGTAACTGATCGAGAGTGTGTGGAGAAATTGGGCTGTTGCTGGGATTCTTCAGTTCGCAATGTTCCCTGGTGCTTCCACGGAAGGTAAGCTTGCTACATTTGCGTTATAGGGGTTGCTTAGAGTTTTTCTTAACAACGAGTAACTTTGTTAATATACCAATTGTGAAAATTAATTCATACTTGTCTACGGCTGAGGCTTTGCGGGTATAAAACAAAAGAATTGTATAATTATCCATTGATACGCCTCAAAATGATTTCTTTTGTTTTATTCCTCTAAGCCTTGGAGACAAGCAATAATTTTAATATATCAAAATTGTTCTATTGTCTCAACATTTTTACTGCAGTTATCCTGCGAGTAGAGCCTTGATCGAGAAGGAGAGAAGGAGGTTCTGTCTGAATAGATTCATGCCTTGGAAGTGCGAGTATTCGTTTACTGAAAAACCGAAGGAGCTGTACCTGCACTGTAGCGCACCACTATTAAGCCTGAATTCGAAACTGTATTCCAGCAACATGCAACGAATGCTCAACAAAGATCTCACTCGATTCATGTAGTCTTTCTCGAGGACGCCAAAATCAAGCAAGCAAAAGAAAGGCTCTGCTTCCAGAGTGCATTACAGTAATCCTGTGTGCTTAACTTTCACCAAACAAAAGCGATTTTATTTTTCTTTTTTCCTTATCCTATCCTAAAAGGTCTTAGTAATTCGTTCATTTACTTTATTTTATCGATAAATTGACATAGATCATTACTGTGATGGAAAATACCCACCTTCTACTTCCTTTAAGTCAATGAAAAAAAAAGGGAAAAAAAACAAACACGTTCTTTGAGGTGAGAGTATTAGATGATTATAATAAGTTTACTGTAAATGTTCTAAAGCGTTATACGTTAGATACCTCAAGCATGAATTTGACAAACGCTTTCTTTTTTAGGGACAAAATCGGTCGATGCACAGTTTCTGAACGAACAAATTGTGGATTTAAAGGAATTACCGCAAAACAGTGTGTAAAGGATAGAGGCTGTTGCTGGGACTCCTCAAAACGCGGTGTTTCCTGGTGTTTTTATGGAAAGTAAGTTTACAACTCCTCGGTATTGTTTATCTGGCTGTTTACTTCTTTGAAAGCGACATTATATGGAGAACTCAGGGATGCGCAATTCTGTAAATCAAATCTTGGTATTCCCTTCACAAACCTTCAAAATGAATTTTGTTGCCATAATATAAACAACATTTTACCTAATGGTTTACTATTACTAGTGACCTTAACTTTTTATTGATCGTGACGTTCTGACCATGCACTTAAAGCACTAAGGCGTCAACTATGCTGTTATATGGAAATTCTATCCATTTTTTAAATGTTTGTGTTTTTGTTCGCAGATTTTAAACTGTTCTCATGAAAGTTTATAGGTTTCTCGATTAAAGTTATGTTTGTATATTTTCTTAATTTAAAGGTTCATTTCTGAGTGACTCATCAATCTTTGTATTCTTATGACAATCGTCGCTTTTTATCTTTTTACAGGGATCAAATCTGACATCCAGACGCAACTTCGTTGCCGTGCAATTCTTCATCGAATCTCTTGCGAAGTTATAAACGTTTCAGAACTGTGGTGCATGAATGGATACAATCATTCTAGTGGGTTAATACACAGTAATTGGTAATCATGCAATAAAACTTAAAGTGTGCAAATTGTCTTTGTGTGTCTATTTTCTTTAGATGGGTTCTCAGTATATGTAATACTCGATAGTCACTGTTTTATGGACAGATGATGTCATCACTACCTGATACTTAAGCAAGAGCTAGGCCACCCTGACTTCCTGCAGTTTGTTAACCGACGTTATTTCCAAAATTGATTTATTTATTATTATTATTATTATTTATTTATTTGTTAATGTAAATTCCAACTTTACTCACGAAGCATTAAGGACTCGTGTCCGCGCGTTCTAGATTTAATTTCTATTTGGAATTTGGGAATGTTTTTTTTTCAAGGGGAGCACCAGGAGAAAAACATCTCGAAGAAAGGCAGAGGAATCTCGAATCACATATCGCGGCCATTCCGGGACCTCGAACAGGGCCACACGTTATAATAGGCGTTGGATAGTTGTATGCCAAAGTCTTACATTCATTTTTGAAGGGCAATGAACTTGCATTAATTATCTCACCGCATCTGATTTTGTCATTATGTCATTAGTGTGTCACATGACTGTATCGTGGGCTCAGGTGTGTCCAGCGGTTTTAGTGAAAACAAAGGTTTCTGGAGGTTGCTCAGTCTCGCTGGCTCACAAACCCTTCTTTAGGTCGATCTTCTTTTGTATTTGCCAACTCATTGAGATAACGTGATTTTTTTTTTAAGTTCTTCACTGATCGGTTATGGGATTCAAGTAATTCCAGGCTTAGAAAACGTTACTTTAGAAAAGTTTCCACAAGAGCTTCGCTCTTGGACTTGCCATGCTTGCGAAATCTTTAAACTAGAAATACGCTTATTGCACCACCTCGCGAATCCGTAAAAGGCCCGCAGCATGAACAAAGAGAACCAAGCCAACTAAGTAGGTAAAAAATATGTCAAAAAGAAACCAAAACAAAACAAGACCATCAAAAGAGGGAAAAACAAAAGAAATTAAAATCGGCACGACCGAGAACCGATTTTGGCCAATTTACAAGCAAACACTAAAAATTATGGGCAAATAACATTAAACAATAAACCCCATTCAGACCCTCTGTTAACTGTACTCTTCCTCCAGTATACAATCAACTCCCTTTATACCCAATACCGGATGCTGTAAGAACCTCTCATTAGCGAGAGTCGGTAATAGTGGGACTCTATTTCAGTCAAACGTCTGCAACATTTTTTTTGCCTGGGATTTAGCTGCTGTTCGTATTTCGGGGTGTGATAATACGGCAAGAGTTGACTGTAACAAGTTTATAGGATCTAATGTTTTCTCTACTTTTACTGTGGAAAAAAAAAAAAGAAAACGGAAAAGTGTGAGCGGTTACGTTTAATTAAGGATTCTTTTGGTCACTGACTAATGAGTTTTCTTAAGAATGTTTGGTAAATTATTATTGTGGCTGTAGCGACACTGCAGGAAAAGAATTTAATAGTTTAAACTGAAAAAGATCTGCCCTTATTTGACTCTGAGCATCTCATTTCTGCATCATTGAGGGCTTAATTTTTTAAACCGGCGCTACACTTATTAATTTGAAATGCAAAAATTACTTTTATTGAGATATAACTAGAATAATGTGTTGTTAGAAACAATTTGAATATGCGGCATGTTTTTAATGTTTTGTCTCTCTTAATCTCACCGATATTGGGTCAGTCTTTTTGATAGCTCTGTTTTATAATAATTCTGTTTTGAAGGGAACTTGTAGAGACCTTCAAAATAATTGACCAAACTTAAATACGACCTTGTAATCCAGTTTTCGGCGAGAAGGACGTACAAATCAAAGCTTTTATGACTTGTTTTTATGAGACTTATGAGCGATACATGAACAACTTGGTTTAGAATCTAAACGCCGTTGATTGTTTAACTCAAAGCATCACATTTAGGAAATTATAGCTGAAATTTCGAGCCAAAAGTAAGGAGTGATTCGTCACCTATGATATTATGAGGGAAAACATCATTTTTAAATGCCCAAACTTAATCTTGAATTATTTAAAACTTTAATTTTAAACTTCGCGTACATTCATTCCAACCGGAGAAAGTTAAGTGTGTTTATCCTCTTTCAGAAATGATAATTTGTTTATGCAAACAAAGTAAATTCGCCACCAACTCGCCAATTTCCTTCATTTTCAATTTTTGGTCACCTGTCACGTCACGTGACCATAATTAAAAGTTAAGGCACTAGAAAACCTCAAGATTTACTTTTCAGGAAAAATTCATTTTGTTCTAGGTCTCCTAACGGGAGATATTGCCAACCATTCATACGCTCCGAACATACATTTCACCCAGGCCTTACACCTCTTAAGCTTTCAAATTGACCAATCCAAAATAAGAACTAAAATTGAGTTTTATTTCATAACTAGAGTGTTCCTCTTTAACACCTGCGCTAATACTCAGGCTAACAACTTAGACCGCTTGCTTGTTTTACTTACGTAGATGCGCATATTTTAAGGCCCATTTTCACGGGGGGGTGATAATTAGCTCGCTGTGACAAACATTATCGATGTTAATAATGTTTATGTCAGAGCGATGTCCTGACAAGTGAACCATGTAATAGTATCCCAAGACAAGAGAGCCTCTCTTGCCCTTCAAAAATACTGGAGTCGCAAAAGTCTGAAAACTAACTGTTTAAAAGACCACGCGCGCTAAAAAAACGTTAAAAGCTTTATTTTGGAACTTGTTTTAAAATAATAAACATCACTTTAGATCTGCTTTGGGGCAATTGTCTGAAAACAACAGTGCAGCTCCAATGGTCTTATAATGTTCGTTTCATAATTTGACTGGCTCGCAGAACAATTAATTAGCCCTTAAGCTGTTAATACGCATGACATGACTGTAAACCTCTTAATTTTCTGAATAAGTTATTAGCAGCAACTTTCAAGTTGCGGCAGAGAAGGAAAAGAGGGGAACATGAATGTTCCCCTTCAAGTTGGGGTTTTCTTCCTACTGCTGTTTTTCTTAAAGGTTGCCTTTGCCTGCATTGATGGTATGTGTTCTAATTTCATTTTACAAATTTTTCTTTCTTTTTCACATGGAAAAAGAATCTTCCGGGGGTGAGGAAGAGTTTTAATTCGTGTTAGTGTAGCCGCATCACGAGTTCCCCGTCGTGAAGATGTTCTTCAGCGGTACTATGAAATTCTGCTAGTCAACTTGAAATATTAAGAAATAAAATATTTGGACTTGCAATATCTGGACGTCTTCCATTCAAATACTACGTACGTGACGGGTTTGCAGGAAAAGTATCAAAAATTACAGAAAAACATTTCAATGTAGGCAGACCAATTAATTCGATTTTTAACGATGTTTTAAAATTAGTGTGCTAGAGTTTATTTCTTTACTGAGATAGATAGAGATAAATACATAGTTTATTTACAATCACATCGCAACCGAGAGGTTGAATTAGGTGAATATTTACAAATAATTATGATTCCTTAAAAATACTACCACTAATAAGTAAGGGTTATCGGCCTGAAGCGAGGGGTTATGTGATTTATTCCCCTCGTGCGTTGCCCGAAGGCAATAACCACGAGCTGAAGGCCGATAAACGGCTTATTTTTACATTGGCGAGGATTCCTCAAAGGATGCAAAATATAGTGACGAAAAATGCCTCTATTGTTCATCTTTCTTTTGTTTTTTAACACTCCATAATGGCACTGGTTGCATTCACAAGTTTCTCGGCTTTTTAATTATGTATAAGTTTTTCAAAGTCGCATTTCAAATTAGTTGTTCGCAGTGAATGCTAGAAACAGCCTAAAGAGTCAGAAGTAGAGTCGTTTATTACTCAAACTAAAGCAGCTTCGGTGGCGATACTGCAATTGAGCTTCCGGAAAACAATTATGAATCTTCATTTGCGGGTGCGAACAACGCGCAAGCAGTTGACAATTTCAATTTTCGCACCGACGATCTTCCGACCGACCTGCATGTTTACAGACAAAGAAGATTCTGGGCGAGGGATCACTACAAGGAAATTCAGTCGAGGAATGAAGCAAGAATACCACAAAACACGAAGAGGCCAACTACATGTCTTCATGGAGTACGCGAGTTTGGGATGACTGGTTAAAGCACGGAACACCTTACCCTGACAGCGACACTTTCGTGGAACCACAGAATATTAAAGACACCGTTCAATTTCGGACTGTCGTTCTGGCTGTGGAAATCGATGAACCAACAACTAAGAATATCCGTGAATGTGGCGCAAAAGAAACGCTGCTCAGTTTAATTTTAGTAATTATAGCGTCGTGTTTAATATTTCCAATAAACATTTGTGAATTTTTTCTTAGCTTTTCTTTATGAACAGCTAATTGAAATGCGAGGGGATTATGTATTAGTATGCAAGGGGGATAAGTCATTTATCCCCCTTGCATACTAATTCTAATCCCCTCGCATTTTAATTAGCTGTTAATTAGCCTCGCTCTTCCCTTCAAACAATCAAAGCCGCACCCAGCTTTTCAGACAGTTGATCCAGGGGTTATATAATATATTCCCCCGAAAAGAACAAAGGAATCCGAGCTTATGTAAAAATGAGTTAATTTATGACGAGAAATGAAAGAAACGAACAATAGAAACAGCAAATGAATACATTACAGTAAAATTGTGATTTGTTAAGAAATAGAAAATAAAAAAAAAATAGAAAGCAACATGATAGAAAGCAATCGAAACTTCTACAACTATAGATCCGGAACACAGTTTAAGCTTTGAGGGCGTTGGACGTAATAAAACTATTAGGGAATCTGTTCGTCTTGAAAACGGGCCTAAATTTTCGTGTTTTTCTAGGTTCAACCTAGAGGTTCGTGTTTTTCTTAGGTTCAACCCAGAGGTAAACCCCTTGAGCTTTCAAATTGTCCAATCCAAAATAAGCACTATAGATAACTAGAGTGTTCCTCTCTTTAACACCTGTGCTAATACTCAGGCTAACAACTTAGACCGCTTGCTTGTTTTACTTACGTAGATGCGCATATTTTAAGGCCCATTTTCACGGGGGGTGGGGTGGTGATAATTAGCTCGCTGTGACAAACATTTATCGATGTAAATAATGTTTATGTCAGAAATAAAGTAGCGATGTCCTGACAACTGAACCATGTAATAGTATCCCTAGACAAGAGCGCCTCTCTTGCCCTTGGAAAATACTGCAGTCGCAAAAGTCTGAAAATTAACTGTTTAAAAGACCACGCGCACTGAAAAACGTTAAAAGCTACATTTTGGAACTTGTTTTAAAAAAATAAACATCACTTTACATCTACTTTGGGTCAATTGTCTGAAAACAACAGTGAAGCTGCGCGCAATAGTCTAAAAATGTTCGTTTCATAATTTGACTGGCTCGCAGAACAATTAATTAGCCCTTGAGCTGTTAATACGCATGACATGACTGTAAACGTTTTAATTTTCTGCACAAGTTATTAGGAGCAACTTTCAAGTTGCGACAGAGAAGGAAAAGAGGGGATCATGTATGTTCCCCTTCAAGTTGGGGTTTTCTTCCTACTGCTGTTTTTTTTAAAGGTTGCCTTCGCCTGCATTGATGGTATGTGTTCTAATTTCATTTTACAAGTTTTTTCTTTCTTTTTCAAATGGAAAAAGAATCTTCCGGGGGTGGGGAAGAGTTTTAATTCGTGTTAGTATAGCAGCATCACGAGTTCCCCGTCGTGAAGATGTTCTTCAGCGGTACCATGAAAATTCTGCTAGTCAACTTGAAATATTAAGAAATAAAATATTTGGACTTGCAATATCTGGACATCTTCCATTCAGATACTACGTACGTGAAGGTTTTGCAAGAAAAGTATCAAAAATTACAGAAAAACATTTCAAAGTAGAGAGGGTCATTCACTAAAATGCTGTCCTATTATATTGCATTCTTCGTTCGAGCCAAAAATGTTTATCCTTGAAGGAAGTTTAAGTGTTGCGTAGAAACCTCTTCCGCACACATGCGAGAACTGTAACAGGAGCTTTATCAACAAGCCCATATCAAATTTCTCTCCATTCGCTGTTTTAAAAAATGACAACTATAAACAAAAAAATTTGAAATCAATTGAAGACGAATTTTGCGCGATCTAATCCTGCCGTTGAAAATCGGACTCCAGAAACTTACATATGAAGTGTTGTGTTTGACGAATAACCTCCTGAGAATAAAAAGAAATTGTAATTATGTTTGAATTCAAGTTCACAAATAGATTCCATGTTGCCGTGCGTCTGTTCAGTAATAGATCACAGATGACGTCAAAATGTCGTAAAAACAAAGAAGTGGCACACGAGCCGCAGGCGAGTGTGTCACTGTTGTTTTTACCACATTTTGACGTCCTCTGTGATCTATTACTGAACAGACCCACGGCAACATGGAATCTATTTGTTTTATACAATGATCAGAAAAGAAAAAGACCGATTCACATACCTGCCTCGAACCGCTTGACCTTTTGCGGATTTGTGCTAGTTTAGGCATTTTTTAAGTCCCAAACCCAACTTCATCTTAGCTTCTTCTTTATCTTTCTTGTGTACAGTTTCTTCGAAAAGTTTTTCACCGTCTTTTCTTGCTCAAAGAAGAATAATAGCGAAAACATTTTGCAAAACAGCGAGTCTCTCGTAGCGAAGACACACGATGGCAACTGATGTGAAGATTTCTTGTAGTTTAGGCATTGTCAAGTAGTCAATAGCTTTTTTGGTCTCCGTTTCTCCATTTTTCTTCCTTGTAAATAGCTCCTGCTAAACTTTTTCTGAAGCTTTCACTTGCCTCAATCCGAAATAATCTCACAAACATTTTCAAAACCGCGTGCCATGTTGAACACTGGGACAAAGAAAACAAGTTTTTCCCGTGACGTCATCCATGTATCTGTACTCTAATAGATCATGGTCAACGACCAATCACAGCGCGCGTAGTATTCACATCATTGTATAATAAAATGTAGATAAATTTCCAGTATTTAAGATTGGAGTAATAGCCGTGATACATGAACAAAGAGGCAAAAATTACTCCAAAGAAGTGTCATAATCTCCTTAATATCATATTTCTGTCCTAAGTTTTCGCCCGTAGGGCGTGTGAGGCGAGAGAAAAAAAAGTCTGGACTAGCTCTCTGTTTTCAGCCTCTTCCCAGACCTTTTGTTTGACTGCTCGCGCGTACTTGAATACGCAGAAATACGGACTGTTTTGCAGTCTATTGTCGGGCCAACAATGTTGGGAGTTGGTGCGTCCGTTTGTACATAGCTAAGAGTTTGACCGGTTCCAAACTTTGCGCATAGCTGAACGTCTGCGTCGGATGCATTATCAATGAAATTTTCTATGGCAATCAGCGTCATCACGAGGCGAATTTTATAGACAATTCTATAGAATCTGGGGCGTGAGTGGTACCCCACATGCAGAGTTTGAGGTTAGTAGACGAGACTGATTATGAAAGCCGGCAATCATCAAAGATAAAAACAAGAGTGCTGCCCTTTAAGTTGCTTTGCAAGACACAAATAAGACACCAATAGAACAGCGTGCTTGTCGTAGCTGTTGACAGCTGTTTCGCCATAATTGTGTTTCGTCAGAACGGCGTTACAAACGGAGAAGCTCTGGTGAGAAATACCCTCACACTCTTGCCCTTCCGGAGACACGTGATATGACGTCATTCGGGGCGGAGCCTCCCATTTCCCCTTATAAAACTTTGTCGACTGTTCCCCGGACGTCGCCCTCGGGATGGGAACTCTAAATACTTCGGCGCCTTTACCCCGAGAGGAAGTTGATGTTGAGAAAATTAAAATAAGGTGTAAAATTCTTCAAAGTTTCAGAAACCGATGACTTCAAGATGTCCCTGGCACTCTTCACAATTTGTCTTATATCCGGGATGTACGGAAGTGAGGCTGGAGGAGGGCAATGTACAATTTCAGAGAGATCAGTTCCTGGTAAAGCTCTCAAGGGTCACTCCTTCAAAGAGTTTGCAGTGAGGGCCATTATTGAGTGCCAGAACACCTGTGAAAGAGACCCCAGGTGTGCGAGTTACAATTTTTACATTCCGGGCAAAGTGTGTGAGCTTAACAGCCAGACCAAGGAAGAAAGACCTGAAGACTTCGTGACAGATGAGCTAAGGTTCTATATGAGACGAGAAGGTACGATAATCTGTCTGTTCTCTTCCGTTTACTTCCTAGTCTCCCAGCAAATCAGACTATAATCGATCTACTTCTAGTCTTACACTGTATTCGGGTATTTGTATTGTACTGTCTACAGCTATTTTGAAAAAGGTTGTCGGAAAAAGTGCACTCGACAAGTATTGTGGGTGGCATTGAGTTCATTTTGTTGTTCCAAGAAAAAAATGGCACGAGAGGATGCCACACGTATGTTTGCGAGTGCTAAAGAAAAGAAACAAAAGTAGGTTCGACAGCTACAGTGTATTAAACAGTATCACTATGGATCATATGCCATATTACCTTTCGTGCACATTTTTTCCGACAATGTACCTTTCACGAAATAGCTGTATATCGTGGAAGTACTTAATGCATTAGAAAAAAAGCATTGTTGTCTAATCATGGTATATTGTTAAACAATAAAAATGCAAACAATGGAATTTTAGTTTTGGTTTAGTTTACTCTTACCCAGTTTGATTTACAGCTATTTCAAAAAACGTTGTGGGAAGAAAAGAAAAAAGTTTAAGCCAAGACCGAAAGGTAATATGGGATTTTTATGATGACCTGCTACAGGTCCTATAGGAGTTTGGCGGCCACTCAAGTATGTTCCTGAGAACAGTATGGAACGTCTTTCTGTAAGTGAGACTATCTCTAAACGTTGGACAACACTTAAAACAGAGATGGTTGGAGGGCCTTCAAACAGTAGGGAGCTTAAGCAACTACAATGGCGACAAAAGAGACCGTAAACAACAATAGGTTTAAATTAGCAAAACAACAACTTAATTTGCACGTGCACCACGCTTTTTTGTCCGTGGCCGTTGTTGCCCGACTACGGCTTGAAATGTCTCATGTTTTATAGGGGAAGTGAACAGCAGGCCACAATTTTCTTTTCTTTTTTTTTAGCTTAAAACTAGTCCTTGAGAATGCATTTCCAGAGGAATCGCCATCATTTAAGAAATTGAACGAGTTGAAATAAAGGCGATGTGGTTGTCCATACATTCTTACATGTTGTAGTGCAAAATATTACCCGCAGTAGACTTTGGCGACCTTTAATTAATTCTTGAGTAGGAACCATTATTCGGAAAAAAGTTTGTTTATGATATTTTTTCGCTCACTTCGTTACTACGTTATGCAAATTGACAAAATGTAAAATTTAATGTCATTTTTTCTTGCTCATTAGCTGAACAAAATTGCTTTCAAAGATGGGAATAAGCAAGAGTGCACTTCGACTGAAACGTAATTTTACCTTGTGCTTTTTTAAAAGCTAAAATGATAAGTATGGTTCAGAATAAATGTCGAATAAAAATCAGCGACCAGTTTAGGCTCGTTTAGTGGAGTGATTGTTTGCCAGCAAAAGACGGATTTGAAACAACCCACATTACCTTGAGGTCTTGGCTTGAAGACTTTTTGCTTTTCTTCCGACAACGTTTTTTGAAATAGCTGTATACTTAAAATTAAGGGGAGGTTGTCTTGTGGTATCTGATAAGTTAACTAAGGGTATTTTATCGGGATGTTATATGTTGGGTATCATGAAGACTCATTTCTTAGTTGTTAGAATAACACTTTCGTCTTCAAGTTCGACGTTTAAAATAGTCGTCAAAAGAAACCTTCTTCTGACATGAATTCGGTGTAAGCGGATGTTGTCCTATCGCAATTCAATTTGTAAGAACCATCGCACTTTGTAATAAATCCATCACACTTTGTAATACCTGTCGCAATTTGTAATAGGCCGTTTCGCACTTTGTAATAAAACAGCTCAGTGTTACAATTTGTAATAACTGTCCATCGCACTTTGTAATAACCAAAGCTGTCGCAATTTGTAATAATTCCATCATACTTTTTAATAAGTTTTTGAAAGTGATTCAACTTACTTCGTCAACATTAATGCAATGCCAAAATATGAATGGTACTTCATAAGAAAAGATGATGATATCTGCAAGCACATAACTTAAATCAGTGAATATCCTGCACTATTCACTGATTCACCTCCAGTTCCTCCGAGCGAGCGACGCCAAACTCGCGTAGGTTGCGAGCAAAATGCTTTCCCGGTTTGCTGCCGTAACAAACTATGAATTTTCACAACTAATCAAGTAAGCTGTTTCCGAAATACATGAAGAAGGTGACGAAGTTCGGTTTGGAGTTTTAACAGGTAAAGCTTTGTCTTTTTGACTTGAATAGTTATCGATAAAACCGGTGAAAAAGTTTTTTGTTTACAGATGCAAATTAAGCTTAAGTCTTGCGTTACTTTATTTAGTTGACTTGTTCATAAATAAGCTTAAAACTAAATTTAATGATCTTTTTTACAGAATTATTTTAAATAAAAACAGCATTCACAACTCCTTTTGAAGAAACTTCCCTGCAAGAGCTAAACAAACGCCTTCAAAAGTTTTATTTGTCGCTAAGAAAAAGCGACGACTGCGGCCTTTCGGTCATCGCGCGCCAAAATTGTAATCGTTGGCAACAGTAAAGGAGTTAAAAATCATCATTTTGTGCTCAATTACCTCACTGATTTAGTATATACTAAAACAATTACTCCCCTCAGTGTCGGTGGCTAGTAGTGGATATTTTCCTCGCCGCTTCGCGGCCTCGGTAAATAACCAATACTAGCCACCTCCACTTCGGTGAATAATTGTTATATATTTAAGCAATGGACCACACTTTCTATGGGTTTACCGGCGCGATAACCCACGGGGGATGTTGGGAAAACACTCGAAAAGCTTGTAAATCACTCGCCTTCGGCTCGTGATTTACAAGCTTTTCGAGTGTTTTCCCAACATCCCAAGTGGGTTATCACGTCGGTAAACCCATAGAAAGTGTGGTCTATTGCTTTTATAAAATAACTTTTAGTAGGTAAAAAATATGGTTCTATTACCGTGATCAAGTCACGTCTTCTCTCTAAAGTCATCATAAGCCAATCATGACTCACGAATTAATAGCGTTGAACTTTCTCAAAACAACAAACAGCAGCACTTCAAAACACGAGTTTTTGCACTCATTACATGATAACTTATGAAAGCTGTTTTACAGGAAAAGTCAACACATATTCATGCGAACGTACAATGAAAGAATGCTTTCATGGTTTGTTTACTACAGAAGTAGAAATTAATTGAACATCAGACTGTACGCAGCTGTATTTTGTTGAGTCGATCCGTAAGAATTTCGTTGTTACAGACAGAACTGACAGCTATTGTAATGGAGGACTTCATTCACTTTTTACAAGCCGCAGTGGTTTAAGATCTGTTTTGTGGACGTTATTATGATCAGGAAATGCTGCGGTAACGACGTGGCTGCATTTGCGAAGTTGTAGCATATGTAACTTTATATGCACGTACAGCGACCGATGGAAATATGTCAGTGGTGGAGAAAGGTTTCTTTGCCGTAGCCACATATTGGCGTTAATATTTGTCGATTCGTGAAGTCAGGTGGTTTGAGGTAGGTTATGGCATCGATATCACCGAATAATTTGTGCAAATGTTGGAAAAAACCAGCCCGAAACTCTGACATCTTTCACCATCGTTGGCAGCTTGTTTACAACATACGGCGGCCGATTTTGTACCATATCTTGATCAGAGATCTCTTTTTGTTACAATTTCTTTCATTAAGGAATTTAATTTTGACATAAAATAAATCAATAATGCTAAAACTATCCGTTTTGTTGCTGGTTGGCACATGGTTAAGTTTTCCTGGAGACGTTCTACACCAGAAATTCACACAGTTGTTGTCTTTCTCTGCGATTTGGCATCGTCGTAAAATGTAAACTGTCTTCCAGCTTTGTACTTTATAACTTCTAAAACTATGGCAGTAGCGAATTGTGACGCTCAGTAATAAAATGTGGAAACCAACGCTTTTAATATTAAGAAGGGCTGGGCAAGTAACTTGTTCTGTTTTTTAGCCTCTCTAAAATCGTTGTTTGCAGATCAATTAAGCCGGTTTTGTTTATGGCTCGTGGTCCGGATGCCTTTTTCTATGGGTTTACCGGCATAATAAACCATAGGTTTTTGACCAAGCAGATCACGCGTACTATCTCAGTTATTTTATAAATATATATATATATATATATATATATATATATATATATATATATATACAACGTATCTCCGCTCATTCAAGCCATTTAACTTTATTCGCGGTCCTAAACATTTTTTTTTTAATCAATGTTGATTTGTTATTTGACTTACAAAATTCGGTATTCTTAAACCTTGCTATTTTACTAGGTGGTTTGCATGCAATGGTTACCCGGGGGGTGGGGTGGGGGGCATGCTCCCTTATATGGCCAATACGGGGATGTGCCGCTGGACAGACCACTGTCAGAGAACAGAATCTAGACACACTAGACACAAACTAGCCGTTTTTAAAAGACATTTAATTTCCGCAAATCGTTAAGATCCATCCTTACATCATTCGAATAAGGACACCAGGAAAGTTCAAGCTTTCCTTTTTAGATCTTATAACAGGTCGACATAACACCGTCCTTGTCTAACGCGAAATCTTAAAAGAAGTAATAGTGGTTTCCATATTTTGGGCAACTTAATCAGAAGAGGCCTGGAAAAATTCAAAATGTTTACTGCAAATAAACAAAAGCTTCACTAGTGGCAAATCGTCGAAGCACAGCAGAAACATAAACACAAAGTCCAATTAGTCGCTTTCCAATACCTTTCTATGTACCTAATTTTATGAAACTCACTTGGGGTCATACACTGAGCCGGCTGACCATTTGGTCCATTATTCTCTCTTGATTTGGTCCCATATAGGAACAAAGGAAGTACTCATTTCATCTTAAAACAATTTTCTTCTATGGAGCCCTCTAATAAAGCAAATACCGTGTGCGTTCAACTCTTAAGACCGTGCAATTCTTCCGAGGGTGTTCAGGATTACTTTTTTCTCACAAAATGGATACCCTATTTAAGGTTCGAGATCCTCAAAAACCATACCCTATCAGGCGATCCATACCTACCTACCCTATATAAGGGATTATCTCCTCCCCCCGAAGACACGTGTCATGTGCAAGCAAACATGGATCCAGATGTGGACGGCGAATACCAGGTTATTCATGAATTTTCTGTTGCTAAATTTTGCTTTTGTTATTTAAATATTTTTGAATTCAAATATATGAAATGATTCACATCTTTTTTTGGTGACATGTCACAGGAAGTCTCATGTCTTTCATAACAGCGATTCTCGTTGGTCATGTGATTATTCAAGGCAGATAAATTTATAACGGAGGACATGCATGTTTGACCAAAGAAATAATTTAGGTTTACAACAAAGTGCGATGGAATTATTACAAATTGCGAGAGCTTAGTTTATTACAAAGTGCGATGGACAGTTGTTACAAATTGCGACAGCTTTTTTATTACAAAGTGCGACACGGTTTATTACAAATTGCGACAGGTATTACAAAGTGTGATGGATTTATTATAAATTGCGACAGGTATTGCAAAGTGCGATGATTATTACAAATTGCGACAGCTTAGTTTATTACAAAGTGCGATGGACAGTTATTACAAATTGCGACAGCTTTTTTATTACAAAGTGCGACACCGTTTATTACAAATTGCGACAGGTATTACAAAGTGTGATGGATTTATTACAAATTGCGACAGATATTGCAAAGTGTGATGATTATTACAAATTGGGACAGTACAACCCTACCAAAGAAAACAAAGGGTCGACAGATCCAGCTTAAAGGCCGGTTATATTTCTAGCTGAACCGACGTTTCGTTTCGTTCTCATGTGAACAGTTCGCCAAGTTTTCTACACGAATGTAGAATTAGTTGACTCGCCCAGGGTAGCTCGGGTAGGCCAGTGACCTTTCTACCCAGCCCGGGGAAAGTTTTCTCCATATAAACGGGGCCTAACAACTATCTAAAAGTATTTTTTTAAATATTGTAGCAAAGCTAAAACACGATGGTGGACTTCAACCAACACTCACTCTGCCACTCCGCTGGTTTTTGTGTATAAATCTTTCATTAGCTTACTACCTGTTAGTTTGAAGCAGAATTTAGTTAATATCTTCCAACATTTTATTTCAGACGTAGACGAATGCCAGATGAGCACTCACAATTGTAGCGACAATGCCACCTGCATTAACACCGAGGGATTCTTTAACTGTAGTTGCAAAACAGGGTACAGAGGAAATGGCTACAACTGTACAGGTTGGTGCTTTTAAAACTCTTCTCATTTTTTTTTACATTTTTAAGGATTTTTTATTGAAAAAAATAACAAACAAACAAACAAACAACAACAACTTACAACAAAAACATTTTCATCGCTCGGCTGTGCTGAGTCAGTCGCGTGCTAAGGTTTCTGCAGGTTTCACCAATGTACGTAGGCTGCAGTCGCAGCATTTGATCTTGTATACTGCTGCCTGTCTCTATTCCGGTTTGTTTTTGTCCCCGACAATCATATCCAACCTTGTTATGAAATGACTTGAGCTCCTAGGTTCAAACTTTTCACAATTAATATGAGTAACGTAAGCAACTACAATGAGAATAACAGACAAGAAACTTTTAAAAAATATTATAAAAAAACTAGTAATAAGAACAATTGACTTGAAAAAAGAGGCAATGAGGAATTAGTAACGAATTCGTTACAATGGGGACTAAGGGGTATGTAGTAAATTCGAGACTTTCCGAGACTGGAAATTCGAGACCGAGACTTATAACAAGCGATTTATCAATTCCAAGCTCGAGACTGGAAAATTCCGAGCGGGACACTCCAAGCGTCAAAAATTTCTAGACAATGGTACTAATAAAGCTAAACAAAATGTCCGAAATCGTAACTGGAAGCTAGCGAAAGCCCACTTATAGCACTTATTGTGGCTAGCGAAAGCCCACCGATATACTGCTTTGTCTTGTTTACTGTTTTATGTCTCTTATTTACTGGCTCAGTTTGGTAAGCTGTGGGATACATAAACTCTGAAAACTTCGACTCCAGAAGACCGAAAAAGAAAAAAACAAAACAAAACACGACAAATCCGAGACTCCTAGACCCGTTGGCATAAGAATTCGCGACTCAGAGGCCCAAAAGTCACCCGAAAACGAGACTTCGAGACCCATCTGCTTCCGAGATTTTGAGATCGGCCAAAAGTTTTCGAGATCCATGCCACGTTTTTTGAAGTACCATCATGATTCTATATCCCTAAACTAGGACAATGAACTGAATGAAGAAATACAATTAAAAAAAAACTAGTAATCTACGTGTTACGAAGATGAGATACAATCAAATAAAAGTTTGAAGGCAGGTTAAACAACAACAAGAACAACAACAAAAAAACAATAAGTGCTATATCCCTTCAGGCTTATGAAATATTGCACTCTTCATGCACAGTAATAACAAAATCACAGGGCGAGCTCTTAAACAATTTGTGTCTAATTCCCATTTCGGGGCTTTTGAGTAGGTAAAAAGGTATAAAACCAAAAAGGCCGAAAGTACTGTTAAAAGTACTTTTCCCTTCTTCTTCTTCTTCTTCTTTATATTCTTTTTTGTAGATATTGACGAGTGCGCCAGCGGCACTGACGACTGCCACAGTTCATTAGCTTCATGTACAAACACTGTGGGATCCTTTAGTTGTACATGTAACAGTCCCTACAATGGAGATGGCAGAACTTGCAATCTACCGGAAGGTAATTATTAGTCAAAATATTAGGAAAATGTTGACTTTAATTACCAGACCCTTACGCTTGTTAGCTAACTAGCAATTGTTGCATACGGCTGATCTCTCCGGGGGGAGAGGGGGGGGGGGGGAGGTACTTCCAGAAAAATTGGGTGTGGGTTTGCGGTACGCTTCCTGAAACCCTCTCCCTATTTCAGACCAAAATCTGTGATTTTCCCTACCCTATTTCAGACCTGACCCTTAAAACAATACCCTATTTCAGACCTGCCTTATAATCAGTTCCCTACGTCAGACCAGTGTTATAAATAGAGGATATTACACGGTGGCGCGAAGATATGAATTTTATTTTCGAGTGGCAAAACAATATTTTACGAACGAGCGCAGCGAGTGAGTAAAATATTGTTTTTGCCACGAGAAAATAAAATTCATATCTTCAAGCCGCCGTGTAATGTTCTTTTTATTATATAGACAAAAAGACATCGATAAAGTCATGATAGATTATTCGCCAAAAAGTAATTGTCACGACTCAAATTTACAGTACAGCAATACAAGACATTGTTTACAATAATCTTGAGAAATAACACTGAGCTGAAAAGGGCTCTACAATGACAAAATATAAGTAAAGCTTTGAAAAATGTGTAATTGAAATTCAAAGGACGCAAGACGCCTACAAATTTTGGAGGGAAATTACCGAAATTACGTCATCGATAAACTCACGTGTGAGATTATGGAAAATAAACCACTCGGGTCCCGGATGTAGTTTTTATGAATTTTACGAGTGGTATATTTTCCAGTAAAACACTCGTGTCTATATAATAAATAGAGAATATTACACGGTGGCGAGAAGATATGAATTTTATGTTCGAGCGGCAAGAACAATATCTCACGAGTGAGCGCAGCGAACGAGTGAGATATTGTTCTTGCCACGAGAACATAAAATTCATATCTTTGAGCTAACGTGTAATATTCTTTTTATTATATAAACATACTGATGACGGCGTTTTTGATGATTTTCCGAAGATTTCCGACCACCTTCCGAAGATTTCCGAAGATTTTTCAAATTGTCCCGAAGACCAGACGAACGTTCCCGAACATTTTCCGAAAATTTCCGAAGATGTCCGAAGATTGCCGAAGATTGCCGAGCACTTTCGAGGAAGACCCGAAGATGTTTCGATGATACACCAACGAATTTAAGTACAATTTAAGAGACAAACCTGATGTCAGTGAAATTATCGATATCTTTACATGTTTTGTCTTGCTTCTTCGTTTATTCGTTTGAATGTGTATTTGTTTATTTATCACAGCTTAAATATATTCTTTATTTGTGTGTTTTTATTTGCATTTGTTTGTTTGTTTATAACAACTTTGAAATCTAGTTACTTTTCCTCATGTCGCATTTACTCAGCGCGATTAGCTTTAATTTGCTATTTCTGAGTGGCTGTGCTCTCTTTCTTTCACATTATTATTTCCTTTAAATGACTCTACACTTTTGTATCAAGAGCACGATAAGCATTGTTGTTATTGTTGTTGTTGTTGTTGCTTCTTGTCTAATGAAGTTTTGATCATTTTTAACTATTGTCTGTTTTATGTCAGAATGTCAAAATTACTGGAGTCTGAGCAATGCTGACAGGAATATAATTTATGGAAGGCCCAACCGTCAGTGTGACAGCGGTATCGGCCCTGGATGGTTTCGTTTTGAAGGGTCCGCCGGCACAAGAATGCCAACTTCATGTCCACCTTTTCACAGGTGTAACACTGACTCACCTGGCTGGATGGATGGTAGCCACCCTACAGTAGCAGATGGTCAGGTCAGCAGGCGGGTGTGTTTTCCCTGGAGTAACTGCTGTCACTGGCCAGTAAACATCACAGTGAGAAATTGTGGTTCATATTATGTGTACTATCTTAGTAGTGCACCTAGCTGTTATCTCCGTTATTGTGGCACTAACTAAAATTAAGGTGCAAGTAAAGTATTACATAATCTATCATTTCAGTTAAGTAGGCTTCATTGTATTAAAGAAAGAAAAGAAAAGGAACTACACTTAACTTCAATATCCGAATTTCTATAACTTAAGCAAAAGGAGGAAAAAACTACGAGGTAACACAACGTACTACTCGCGTTTGCAAGCAAGAACAGTTTTCTTGAAGTTTAATATGAGGATGAACATTCTTTTAAGCCGTTTTAAAGATCAAGGAAGAAATAAATAATGGTAATAGAACTTACCAGGAAGTTATGGAGGGGCATTCTGGACAAAAATGCAATCTAATCGCGACTTGCATTCCATTGGATCGTATCCGTGTTCCATTGGATCGTACCTTTCTTCCATTCAATCGTACTCCCATTCCATTCGATCGTACTTTCATTCCACTGGATCGTACTTTTCTTCCATTCGATCGTACTTCCATTCCATTCGATCGTACTTTCATTCCACTGGATCGTACTTTTCTTCCATTCGATCGTACTTCCATTCCATTCGATCGTACTTTCATTCCACTAGATCGTACCTTTCTTCCATTCGATCGTACTTCAATTATTTTGTCGCTAGCTATATGACATTGGTTTATTTCTCTGTGGTATTTCACATTTATCCGTACCTCCGTGGAAACAGCATTCCATCGGATCGTAACTATCGTTCGGCCGTAGTCATCATTTGGTCAGCGGTGAAGCGAGGAAGGCTAAACCTCGATCTCGTTTTAGTGTGGAGACATACGACTTATGATTACATGACGTACAATTGAAAATCGAGTCGCACATGGAGCCACGCCGATAGTGTAGATAGTAGAAAAATATTACGTTCAAATTTCCTAGACATTTGAAGCAAATTTATGAAACGTTGCAAACCAATCTGTGTCAAGGTTGTAGAGTAAATAAAATTTCAATTCATGTAACATTAGTAGCGGAGCTCCACGCGCGCGCGTGGGCGGAGCCCCATTGCTAAGTAAATCTACCCATCCCAGAAAATTTGGTAATCAAGTGACCGTACACCGACCGCCGACCGACCGTCCGTCCGCACCACAGGAAAACCAATGTTTACTCTCACATTTTAACTAGTTTGGTAGCCCAAGAGAAAACTAATTTCACATCAATGTTGTGATCAATTGACAGCTGTCAAAACAGGACATCCGCTGACCAGTATCACCTGACCGTACCGCGGGCCCAAGTGTTGACCCATCGAGGTCGAGTATTTTTTGAAGTTATCCGCTGATTAATTACCAGTTTGAAATGATCGCAGGCTCAAGTTAATTTTTTCCAAGGATTCATATCAAATATGTTGTGTTTATGTCACTATGGCCCCGCACTATTAAAATTTTGATTTCAAACTGACTTCGGAAGCGAAAATTCAGCCATTTTTTTTATAAGTACAGGCTGGGAAGACCTTATCTTACCATGGTCACGCGTTGGTCACGCTCTACGTCCAATTTTTATACTCTGATTGGTCAAAATTTGACAGGTGAGTTAATGCGAAAAAATTATGCAGCATCTTGAAAATTGTTTACTTTGACAGCTGAAGCTGAAGAGTTTTGTGTCAACTTGTGATGTTTTTAACTGTCTTTTTCTTCTGGATGTACAAAATGAAATACAGCTGCTATCAAGAGTCTTCTGTTATTCATGGCTGGTTCGTTTACTGAGTTTTTGGTTGAGGAACGCGTCGCTTGTCAAAATTTGGTAATTCGATTTCGGATGGCATCGTTTTCGTTTTTCACCTTGCTTAATGCGTAAGAGGGTTTAAAAGTCTCAAGCAACTGTGGCCTTCCTTGATAGCTTTCAGGAACTGAATCTCGAATGGTAAGCCTGAGTAACTATTGTATTTGATGTTTGTTTTTGTTATATCTAATTTCATGAAGTCTTGCACATTCACGCTGACAGTTTATGCGGCAAGTTTATGCAAGTTTGTAGCCGTGGTTTGAGTCAATGATCTGACCTAGTATCAGGTTTGAACGGTTTGATATAAGCTTACAGAACTTTAAAAAGCCTTCAGATATATTTGCTCACCACAGATAGAAAGAAAACGTTCCGAAGAATATTTAGTTATAAATTTGGCTGTAGAAAGAAAACTTTGAGCGATTTTCTTGCTTCGAGGAGTTCACCTTGGAAAACTAACACCCGCGCCGTTAAGCCGGCTTATAAAGCTTCACGCCGAGACTCAGGATTTTTAGAGACACTTTAATACTTGTCTTCATGAATGAAAATTGTTATCTCTGTAAATGTTTCACCGAATTATATTTCTTTTTTTGATTGTTAGTAGTCTCTCTTGCAATTTTAATCGCTTGTCTGTGCCGTTTGTTTTCATCGTTCATGAACATCGCTTGCAGGAGTACTCAAAAATGTCGCGCGTATCAAACGCTTTATAAGATTACACATCGTTATAACTGAAACCATTAAATAACAAAAAAAATAATAATAAATTCGCTATTATGTTGAAGCTTAACTCTATTATAGTAATTTATCAAGAAATGTTTTTGAATAGGTGCCAATTGATAGTTACTTATCCCAATCAGCTTTTGCCACCATTCATTACATATCTATAAGTGGCACTTAACCTAATCCACCAAATTTTTACCACATACCGTATATCCACCCCTATCGCTATCTATTGTATCCATAACATCTTTATAATCCCAAATTTCGCGACATATTTGGTGCCTTATCCACCAAAACAATCCCAGAAATAACTGCGCCCAAAGGTTGTACTTATTCTCCTTGGAGTTTCTGAAGTAGGACATTCCCTTTTCCCTTCCATCTCTTTTAAACGCCTTCCACGTAACCTAAAACGTATTTTCCTACGCAGCCTTTTTTTCTCTTGTCAAGCAATGTTCTTCTGGGGTAAGAATTAAACGTTTACTACACCCTCATTTCCAGGGGCTGCGATCCTTTTGGTCAGCTCCAAAGATCACTAACCTTTAGACTTCAAGAAGGAATGATGAGAGAATAAACACCCCGTAAAACAACGAAAAAACTAATCTGGTACCCAGATCTCCCACGGCCAAGGAAAAGGGAGATCTCACTATATTGCTGTCTCCATAAGCTTGATTGAATGGAATAGTGTTTTTTCTTGGTATTTTCGAAACCAACGCTCTCACTAACGCCCCTTGGCAGCCTCACACATGGTGGAGATATATCGATGATATTTTCATGATCTGGATAGAAGGTTCAGATCGTTTGAAAATATTCGTCGATTATCTCAATAACATTCATCCCACTATTAAGTTCACTAGCTCTCACTCACTTACTAACGTTCCTTTTCTCGACGTCATAGTGTCTCTACATAACGGTATAATTGAAACCGATCTATTTACTAAACCCACGGATAAACATCAGCACCTTCTCAGCTCATCATGCCATCCTCACCACACTAAGAAAGCCATTCCGTTCAGCTTAGCCCTCCGCCTCCGCCGTATCTGCTCTACAGACGCTAAGTTTAAACATCGCATTAATGAACGTAAAACATATCTCCTGGCTCGTGGTTATAATAATAATTTCCTAGAAAAACAGTTCCTACGCGCTGCTAATATTTCTCGTACTAACGCGTTACAAACTAAACCCAAAGCTTCTAACGATGTTGTACCATTTGTTGTCACATATAACCCAGCACTTCCACGCATCTCTAATATCCTACGCAAACATTTTAACATCTTACACTCCTCTAACCGTTGCAAAGACGTCTTTAAGCAAACGCCTTTTGTTGCTTACAGACGTAGCTCTAATCTTCGTGACCTTTTAGTTAAAGCACAACTACCCGTTATCTCCACCAATCATTTTCCGCCGGGCTCCTTCCGCTGTGGACAGAATTGTGACACTTGTCCGTACATTACTAACGGCCTAACAAGTTATACCTTTTACGCTACAGGTGAAACACGCTCCATCACTTCACACATTACTTGTAACACTAAAAATGTTATCTACATGGTTCAATGTAACTGTTGTAATTCACAATATATAGGTGAAACTAAGCGACGTCTTAAGGACAGATTTAACGAACACAGACGTGCAGTCGACAAAACTAACATTAAATCTAAACCCACTACTGTTTCTGAACACTTTCTCTCTCACTCTAACCATTCTCATACTGACATGCAGTTAATCCAACTAGAAAAAATTCATTCTTCACGTGACTCAGTTCGTAAGGCCAGGGAGTCGCATTTGATAGATAAGGCCATGACTCTTGAACCTCATGGCCTAAACCGCCGTGACGAATTATTGCAATCCATATCCTTAGTATTTTTCCTATCCAGTTTTTATGTTGTACGTCATTTCCGCCTCTCCCTTTTATTGCGACATTCTCCATCTATATAATATTGTGATTGCTACATAAGTTCAGTAACATCTGTAAACCTGAAGAAGGCTGGTATGGCCAGCCGAAATATTGTTATGAAAAACAATACACGTTGTTTTAAATCAGCTTTGCTGTAGTCTTCGGACTCCTCGTTCTTGTTTCTTTATATTTTGGCTGATTTGATCTCTTTTCTAGAGATCCAACGTTTACAACCAGCAGGATCTTCGTCCACGGTTTTTGCAGTTAATTTAATCCTTTTTTATTTACACTAAAGAAAATGTTCCCTTCCCGCCCTCCTTCCCCCAAGAAAAATTATGCAAAAATAATATTAAAAAAGGATACAAGTTTTTACACGTTCATGTTTAGGTACGTTCTCTGGTTGAAGCGCAGTACCCATCATAGTCTGAGAATTTCCATAATTTATTCCAGTCTAAGAGATTTACAATATTTGGTACTGGTTTTCTAAGTTTTGCTACAAACTATATTTGTACAGTGCATCAATTTGTGTGAGGAAACCTCCCTAGGAAAACCTTGTACGTGTGAATGGGGCTTAACAAAGAAAGCAAATGTTAACAAACCATTACAATGCGTAACGATAAGCTTGATAGTGTTTTTGGTGAACAACTTTACCTCTTGCAACATTGACACGTGCAATTCGCCACTTTTTACATTGTCCATGTAACACATTGTTCTCCAAATATTACGCAACGATTATTTCCAATCTGTGATTACAATGTGCATTCGTCCCAAGAGAAACTGATAACAACACTAGAGCCAATTTGGGAGGTCAAGCACGGTGAATTTTCAGTGTGAAAGTGGTGGATAAGCAAACCTAATGATTTAATCACCAAGTTGCAGCTCGCTGCATTCACAAATCGAGAACTGTAATTCAGTGAGTCCGTAGAAATGGATTTTGGTGATGGGATGCATAAAGACAGAAGCACCTAGTCTGATGATCACGAGACTGAAATATCTAATCAAGCAGACAAACAGGTAGGGATCATAATTTTTTTTTTCGCTGAGTCAGCTCTAATTCAAATTCTTGAGCGAAGCCTTTGGCTACGTTTGGGCGAATAGCGTTTCAAAATTTGATCGTCAAAATCGAGTTCAACTTTTAGCCAGCTGGTATGGTCAATTTAACAGGCGCGGTATGCCACCATGAACGTCTGTATTTTGTACCTTAAAGGCGTGTTTACATGGATGAGTGGTAATTCAGTTGGCAGACACCATTTTTCATTTGGTAAAGTAGCAAATTGCACATGCATGGATAGGTGGTAAAACTGTTAAGACAAGTTGTAATTCAACCTAGTGCGCCAGTTCCGTGTGAACAAACCGAAATTCGAAAATATTGAACGATTCTGTTTGAAGAAACTTTCCCCTAGTTAACTTAACTTGTACATGCTCTTTCAACTTGACCTATTTTGCTATGTCACTAGTTCATAATATAATTTAGTTGATAATTGAGACACGTTGTCATCGTGACATAACTCGGAAAAAGTGCTTGAGTCTTATTGAGTAATACTTTAGCTGTTATTGGTCTTTATTTGCGACCTCAGCACAGTGAACAAGCGAATGACTACAGAATTTGTTTTCTTTTAATTCTGCATATGGCGCACAGTTAATTCATTTTAATTACTTAATCCATCAGTTCTATTTTACCCCCAATTGAGGCTAGTTATGACTAGTCTGATAATTCTCTAGCTAATGGAAGTGCTCAAAAGATTCAAACTGCAATACATTTAAATCATCCCGTCTCTTTGAACGGTATACTGCTAATTATATATTCCCCTGGAGAATATTTTAGTCAAATAATCGAATTATTTGTACACGTCCTTGATCTTCTGGATTACCACCAGTCGTGCCAGAGCAACTCATGCCACCACAATACGAGCCCCCTCCCCCTCCGGCTTGTTGCATGCGACGACCACTACCTCCCCCAGAGTAACCTCCTCCACCACCTGATGCTCCATTGTCCTCTGCACCCCCTCCTCCACCGCCATAACCTCCTACAGCCCCTGGGGGTGGCCCTCCGTTATTTCCACTGTTCATATCCCCAGCTCGTCCCCCTACCCATTCCTGGTCTCGGGAGTCACCTCTTTCTCCATGCTGTATGTCAACTCTGTTGCAGCCTTCGCGTTCCCAGCCTGCACCCACCCCACCATGGTAAAGAGCATCTGCAGTGTTACATTCCCCAGGGTACCCATCAGCTCCTCCTTTCCCCACGTACGTGGGGTTAGGACCAACACTATCCGTGCCATTAGGACCCTCCTGACCGTCTACTCCGTTATTTCCTGCACTTGCACCTCCTCCCCCGCCAGCAACTATAAACAAGGTGGTTGTATTGTAAGCAAAACTTCCTCCGCCACCCCCTGTGCCGGCATTGTCCTCCACTGACAGTCCCAGCTCAGCTGCGGTTTGAGTAGTAGTTTGTCCTCCCCTCACCTCCACGGAATCTCCTCCCCTCTGCCCCACCACGATACTCAGCACAGTTTGATTAAACAGTACAAACGTGCCTTCCATGAACGCGCCTTTTCCTCCGACGGTAGTTCCGGAATAATCGCCATAATTTGTCGTGTGTGTTCCTCCTCTTGCCCCCCATGCTTTGATGAGATAACGAGCAGTTTCTGGAACTGTGAAAGACTGAATACTACCCAATCGACCAGTGCTTATGTTTGTAAAGATCCAACCGTCTGAAACAAGGATATATAAGGGTTCAGCGACAGTGATCTATTATAAGGTCAAATTAAACATCTTTCCTCGATGTCAATCCTAAAAGAGCACTTTAGGAGAGTCAAAACCAATTGTGATACAAGTCTGCACTGCCGGTTATACAAACCTCCGTACGTTCAATCTTATTTTCAGTGCAAATTAGTATAGGTAATAGCATGACTTGTAGTGATATTTGGCATAAATACCACGAGTGATATTTCAAATTAGTTATACGTAATTTCACGAGCCGTTAGGCGAGAGAAATTTGAGACAGTTTTAAAATATCACAAGTGGTATTTTTGCCAAATATCAAGTACAAATCACACTATTATTTGTGTATACTACTACCCGCAAAAGGTTTGTAATTTTCACATGTAGGTTTTTCAAATTAAGCTGAAATACCACTGCTGTAAGCCAATCACATTGCAGAAATTTCTGATGTAGTAGTATAATAGATATAATAAGTAAAGTAAAAGTTGTGTGAAATTGAAATGGAACTTGTTGCCAGCATTGCTAAAGAGATTTGAAATTTCTAATTGATAAAACAGATATGTTTAAAATCGTCCTTAAACTCAAAAGATACTCAAAAGCCCAAATTTAAGATGAATCGAAATGTATGCCAAAGGGCAGGAATTGTCACCGGTGGGGGGACACCGCATATGAAAGGGGTGGGGAGGCCGGAAATTTTGAATTAAACCCCTAAAGGAGACCGATCTGGGCGTGGCCCAAGCTTTTTTTGAACCCTAAAAGATACCATGTTAAAACACCGACAACATATATATTTTAATATTTTTTTCAGGTGCAACCCTAAACGAGATCTTCACGACTAAATATGATGGCGTTTTGCCCAGAACACCCTAAATGAGACCAAAATCCGAAATTTACACCCCTAAGCGGGACGACGAGCATCCCAACCCCTCCCTCCCCCGGGATTGTCACCCGCATCAATTTCTTTTAAAATATTCTCAGTAAATTGGGTCTTCAAATTATCGAGAGTTTGCGAGGGATTTCAAAGTTATAACTTTGCAATTTCACCAAAAATTCACAGTGTGACTAAGATGGTTTGTCATGTCTATTACCTCACAGCGTTTTGTTGCAAGAAAACACATTCTATTACTGGGTAAAATTGTTAAAACTCGCTTAGTACCCCTTGGTTTTTTTTTTTTCAGTTTTCAAATATTATGCACAGATTAAAAGTTTAATGGATAGCCTGCAATGAGCTCTGCAACATGCTGTATATCATTATTCAGCGAACCTGTGACATCGTTCTTAAAGGCCATTCTCTTGTTTGCCATCTTGGAGCTGGGATTTTTTCTGATCATATCTAGCTCACTCCAACCCCCTTACTTTTCCTCTCGTCCGTGTCAGTCAAAAATTTTGACCTGCAGCGACAAGCGTTTCTCATAGGTGATTAATACAGGCGAAGGCCAGTCTAGCTTAAGAGTGAAGTTTTGCGCGTTTCAGCTGCTCTTTTTTATTTATACAAGTAATATTTATGCTTACCAGAACAGTTTGTTCCATCCCATTCAAACAAAAGTGCAGGGCAGGTGCAGATGAAAGAGCCTACGGTATTGTTACACACCGATGTCGCCGGGCAGTTGTGGGAGTTGTCCGCACACTCGTCCACATCTAAAGCGGGAAAATGCACATAGATTGAGCATAATATACTTTCCTACATGCGCAGACACTAAAAACTGGAAAAGCTCTAAGTGGTCACTGAGAGAGAACTTTACTGGAAATTAAGCTAAACTTATAAAATTTTTCCTAGTCAGATTAGAATTATTTATTTCTCAAATCTTGGAAAATAATTATGTTTGTTTTTTCATTTACTACGATGTAAGTAAATACGAAGAAAGAAGCGATTTTGATAAATATTTGGATAAAAAAAATGCGCTAAAATGCTATCGGCTATCGGTAAACACCTTGCGGAAACCCATGGGCAATTAGGTAAGCCCAAAGAAAGCCAATTTCGCATTCTTCGCAAGTGCTAAACGAAGTTTGAATTTCTGATTTAAGAGATGCTCTTCATAAATGAGATCAATCCGAGCTTGAACACCCAGGTTGATTTAATCGCGTGCAAAACTCTTTATTTCAACTGACATTCTTGACACTTTATATAAGGTTTTTAATGAAGCAAATTAGTATTTATATGCTGCAACAGACACATTTTTTTACCTGATAATGACATTGATATGAAACGTTTTAGCGCAATAGTTTTTCATCCAAATATAAGTGAATTTATCATAAACTCCTCATCCACTTTTTTTCTTTTCTCTTCTTGTTCATTATCGGACTTGCCTTTCCCCCTCGTCACTCTCGATTCATTGGGCTTAAGAGCTAACCAACAGTACGAACCTCATCTCCTCGGATAATACGCTCTTCTCACTTATGGTAATATGCCCGTCTAACCTCGTTTACGGGTAAAAATTCTTTTGAAATTCAAATACGAAAACGTCGTCTGATCAAAGCATTTCAAAGGACTTTTTACTCAAAAACGAGGTTAGACGGGCATATTACCATACGTGAGAAGAGCGTATAAAGGTGTGCGTTATATTAACATAAGTCTTCCTTATAAATACCTATTTTCACTGACATGTCACCTACAAAAATATTTTTCAAAAACAGAAAAAAAAATCGCCCAATATTTACCAGTACAATTTTGTCCATTTCCTGTGTATCCTGGATTACATGTACAGTTGTGAGAACCAATGGTGTTATTACATGTCGCGTTGTAATGACATAAATGGGTATTGGTTGCACATTCATCGATATCTGAAATATTCAAGAAAATACAATACTTGATGAATGAGGTAATAAACTCACTAGAAATGTGCTTTTGGTATTAAGAAAGATTATTGCACAAGATTTATGACTTTTCAAATAAATGAATAGAAGAAATTTTAACCAACGACAAACAGAGTTGGCCTTTTTACGGACAGTCAGAGGCCTAGAGATAAAGAACGGGAAAAGGAAGAACGGGCGAAAAAAACGAACTTATCTTCAAGCAATGGGGTAGTAACAAGATCGATCGAGCCAGAGCTAGCCTGATAGACCGAGAGACAGACAGACAGACAGTCAGACAGACAGTCAGACAGACAGTAAGGCAGGTAGACAGACTGACGGAATGAATGACTGACAGACGGACAGACAGGCAGACATACGGACAGACAGACTGACTAACTGACAGGGAGACAGGCAGTAAGGCAGGTAGACAGACAGACGGAATGGATGACTGACAGACGGACAGACAGGCATACAAACAGACAGACAGACTGACTAACTGAAAGAGTGACTTACCATCACCACTGAACTTTCACAGGTTGTTTTATATGTTGCATTGTACAGTAAACGGCACACCAAATCTGTTCAAGTAGCTACAGTTGACCTAAATCCACCTTTTATTTAATTTAATAATATCTGAGAAGTAAGAAGGTGCCTTATTTTACCAGTGCACCATGTTCCATTTCCGGTGTATCCAGGATTACAAGTGCAGTTGTGGGACCCAATGGTATTGTTACAAAAGGCATTGCCATCACAGTTATCGGTGTTGTTTGAACACTCGTCAATATCTATTGGACAAAAAGAAATGTAGTTTAGTTTTTAATTTACTTCCACAAAAACACTACCGATCACAAGGCTTACCTTGTAATTCTCGTGATATGATTCCACTGACACCAATACGTAAATTCAAATGAATTAAAGAGTTTCCTAAGCGGTCTTTAACATCATCGAATGTTAATTCTCTGATATTATTTCATATCCTTAGTTTATAGTTATATTAATTAGTTAACCTGTATCCATTCATTCTCTGGGCATGATTAAAAATTCACTTAGGTAACTTCGTAGCATATTTAGTTCGGTACCACGCTTTTAACGCAGAGGTCCCGCGGGGTCCAACACTATTGATGAAGTTCTTTATTAATTTTTTGTTACTGCTGATGCTTCTCTTGCAACATAGATTCCTTCTATGCATATGACTGCCAGAACATTTCTTTACGTATTAACAGTTAAGATGTTTTAAAATTACATAGCATTTTACTTTTCAGACACATATCTTTTTCGTTTTATAATTTATTATATTATTTCAAGTGAAGTGAACGCGCAAAAGTTTGTAATAATATCCAGAGGAGAAGGAACAATGTGTTTTAGGAAATAGTCTTAGGTTGTTCGCAATTTCCTTTTCCACCACAATTGAAAAGATGTGTCGTACACTTTATCTAAAATATGAGAAATTAAAGCCATATTCCAGTGTAAATAAGTTTTTAGTTAACTACCATATCCTTAGTGAAATAGCATGTTATTCATTAAAGACCAAGATAACAAAATTTACACACCAATGCAAGTCGTTCCATTTCCCGAGTATCCAGCATAACAGGTGCAGTTGTAAGACCCCACGGTATTGTTACAGTAAGCGTTCATATCACAGTTGTCAGTGTTGTTTGCACACTCGTCAATATCTAACATGAAAATTTCAAAAAAGCCCTCAAATAAACAATTTAACTGACTACTTACAAAACCAGCATTACAGCTAGCCTCAAGGGTGTAACTAACTCCTATCATAGTGTAACGATCTAATAGGCTATTATATAATATTCTGTAATAGATCTAGATTTTCCCGAAAAGTTAGAAAGAATCAAGAGGATTGGTTTGAGTCATCTGCGCAATGATAGTCCCGCCCTTTTCGGAAATGAAGTTGTTAAACCTTGTTACCCTGAAGACTCACGGAGGTAAGTGACCTGGGGCGGAACCGGCAAGATGTGGTTCGAGTGGTTCGTTCGAACTCCCTAAGCCGAAATACTAACGTTTAACACGTTCGGTCTCTATCGAAAAACGTAGGTAGACATACATCGCCAACAAACACTATATGTTGTCTCTTGAAAAATGGCTGTGATGAAAAGAAAAATACATTGATAGAGGAAAGTCTTTTCCTGGTTTATATGACTGTTGATTCCATTTCTGATGAAACCCAAGAATTATCTTTTTAGAGCACTTGGGAACATGCCCCCATGGGCCAGACCCCGTCAAAACAGATAGATTCGCCCCAGATGGCTACTGTATTGGGTGCATATTTTGGCAAGTAGAGGAATAATGTACAGTGAGCGTAACCAATCATAGTAACTTAGCTGTACCTCAGTATTGCGACCGTTGTTTTGGTTCTAAGACCCTTCTCTAGGGGCAGTCATTGAAAGGTAAAGACAAAGTTGAAGGCCCATGCATTGTCCCCCTTGCGGTTATGAGAAGGTAACGGCTAGTAGGGGGTTAAACGTAGTTAATTCCGGCTCTTTGTTTAGTGCTCACAGGTATATCTATTGCAAACGTTTATATTTTTACCAGTACAGTTGAAGCCATTTCCAGAATATCCTGAATTGCAGGTGCAGTTGTATGATCCAACAGTGTTGTTACAGTAAGCGTTGCCATGACATTTATGACTATTTTCCGCACATTCGTCAACATCTAGGAGAAGTGGGAAGAAAACCATCAGTAACTATAAAGGCATATTTTATACTGACGTACATTCATTATCATCAGTGCACAATATACATTGCTGGTACGAAACCAGCAGCTCACCATACAGTTCAAATGTTTCCAGTCATTCCAGCCAGAACATGACAATCTGCAGTTTCTGTTCTGATTCACCCAGGCAACACGGAAAGCCGCAAAAGTCTGGCATAAAAGAAAATCTTTCCAATCGACACCCTAGGCTTTATCCTCAAGGAATAAACAAACGCTTTTAATGGAACTTATTTTTTCCTGTTTTCCACCTTACCATATTCCCACAATGCAAAAGCAGAGATCCAACATCCGTTAAATAAACAGCACACAACCCACAATCAGCTACATTCCCCTTTGACAATGGAATAACGTTGTCTGCTTCTGCTAAGGTGGTCAATGTATTTCATCAACTAAAAAAACATTATGTACCAACTTTGAGGTTTCAATTTGTTGCAATGATTTACCTTCTCTGGATTCAGTTTTCTTAAAGAATTATTTTGATAAAAGGTTTTTTAGTCCGTTATCGAGAAAAAACAAATCATATTTACCAGTGCATGTTGTTCCGTTTCCTGTGTATCCAGAGTTACAAGTACAGTTAAAAGACCCCACAGTATTATTACAATAAGCATTGGGATCACAGTTATCGAAGTTAGCTGCACACTCGTCAAAATCTAAGAAAAGAAATATGGCTGAGCATAAGAATTTTACCACGCTAAATTGTGAAATGTTAGCCGCTTCAAATATTATTTAAAGTTACAGGAGCGAGAGGAAAGTGCTCACAGCATGATCACACATGATCACAAAGCTGAACAAACAGACAGACGGACGGACAGACAGACAGACAGACAGACAGACAGACAGACGGACGGACGGACCGACGGAAGGACGGACAGACAGACAGACAGACAGACAAAGGGATAGACAGAAAGATAAAACTAGGAGGCAAGTAACAGGGGCAGACTGTAGCTTTTGGGGAACAGACAAAGGACATTGAGAACTGAGTAACAACAAAATATGTTTGGGAGATGTGTCATACATGAAATTACCTGTACACGAGGTGCCATTTCCAGTATATTCAGGGTAACAAGTACAGTTATAGGACCCTACGGTGTTGTTACAGTAAGCATTGACATCACAGTTGTCGGTGTTGTTTGCACACTCATCAATGTCTAAAACGAAAATCAACAGTAAGCATTGACATGACATCTATCGGTGCTGATTGCACACTCATCCTCGTCCGAAAGATAAATTATACTGGCTTTCCGTTAATAAAAACATAAGACATAGCCACATCACCTATCAACTAGGTTCTGCCCGATTATTGTAGCACTGCACTAGAAAGTCATAAAGATTTTTCCGGCAGACATCATATTCACCGCATGATATTTTTAAAGCATACACTGCAACATATCTGTTCTATGCTCGTTTAAAACGGTGAAATTTTGCTATCCAAACAAGAACGTACTCTGTACACGGTCGAGGAGTCGACTGTTAAACGCGAAAGCTGAATCACCATTATCACGTGTTCATTTAACTGTCAATCAAAGTCGCGTCTAAAACCAGAAGCTGAGGCACAGTATACCTTCCACTTCGCTGTTTTAATGTCGCACCTATTCATAATTAGTTTTTTGAGTGCATTAATGATTAAGTATTCTGTCAGTCTTAACGGATTTTAGGCGACGTTACAAAATGCTTTCAGTTAGTAGTTTTAGTAAACCTGCGCGCTTCTTGAGTTCAAAACCGGAAGAAAAAGCGTCTACCAATGTAGTTTTTAGTTGGTCTTTATTTCGAGAGAAAAGGAACCAACAGGTCCATTACAATGTATGAAAAATAAATAGAAGAACTTCTATCGAGAACAAGTAATCATATTTACCAGCACATGTTGTTCCGTTTCCTGCGTATCCAGAGTTACACGTGCAATTAAAGGACCCCACAGTATTGTTACAATAAGCATTGACATCGCAATTATCGGTGTTGTTTGCACACTCGTCAAAATCTGAGAAAAAAAAATACAACAGATGCTGAAGAGAAACATTTCAGCACGATGAGTGTTTTAAAATTTCGGCCATTTCAGTGTCACCGATGGACGCCCCAGACACCTAATAAAAGACATACAAACTTTCGAAACGTCAGAAAAAGAGCATTTGAAACCCGAGTAGCATTTCTCAATGACAACAAAATATGGTTAAAATAATAGTGTATTATCCAAGAATTTACCTGTGCATAAGGTGCCATTTCCAGTGTATTCAGGGTAACACGTACAGTTATAGGATCCCACGGTGTTATTACAGTAAGCATTGACATCACATGAATCGGTGCCGAGTGCACACTCATCCTCGTCTGAAAGGTAAATGAAATCAGCTTAGAATGAATAAAAACCGAAGACTCGAGTTATGCTTAACAAGAAACTTTTTTCCCGATTGAGCGCCGCATTAGCTCTTATGATAAACTTGGATCTTCACTTAGAGCTTCACCTCAATTTCTTTCTTTCTTCTCCTTATTATTTTTTTCTTTTCTTTATTTCCTTCCTTTTTTCTTTTTTTACCTCTTGTCTGGGTTAAGACCTCTCTAACTGCTGGGGAAGAGTTCTTATCAAACGTTTTTATAATCGGGCTTTTTCAGAAATATAGATTTTAACCCACTATTTTTCTAAGGGTTGGGCGTTCAATTTGACAACTTTTTGCATCCTGAATGTCAGTATTCATAACAATGTGAGACGGTAGTCTAGTATTTTTTTTTGAAAGTCTTCATACACAAATTGATATATTTCATGCCGAGTCTGAATATTCAGGAAAAAAAAAGATATTTACCTGTGCATGTCGTTCCATTTCCGGTGTATCCAGGGTTACAAGTGCAGTTGTAAGAACCCACAGTGTTGTTACAATAAGCGTTGACATCACAGTTATTGCTGTTGTCTGAACACTCGTTAATGTCTATACGGAGATAAAAGCATGAGGAGTTGTATCTTTGGGGAGAGGGAAGACATAATCTTACTGTTTATAGAGTTCATCAGAAGACACCTTATATACCGACCTTTGGGGGTGTGTGTGTGTGTGTGTGTGTTTTTTTTTTTTTTTTTGTGCAGTAAAGAGGACTTTTAATGACTTTAGTATCACTTATGTCACTATAGTCCATCATATAGTCCATCATCAACAAATAATAAGTATTGAAAAGAACTAAAGTTTGAAAAACAAGAGATGCGTACTTTATTTAAAAGCTAAATCAAATATCTTGTTAAAAAAATTAGAAAATAAAAAAAATGAAAATAAACGAAACATTACCAAAAACAAAGAACTGCGGTAAAATCATTTAGGAAGGGCGATGACACCTTGTGTGACTGTCAAACTACGAAACTAAATAGTTGAATATTCACCAGTGCATGTTGTTCCATTTCCTGTGTATCCAGAATAACAAGTACAGTTGTGAGATCCAATAGTGTTGTTACAATAGGCATTTGTATCACATGAATCTGCACCTGTGTCACATTCGTCAAGGTCTACAAGAAACAAAGATTGAAGTTTAACCTTTGCATTAATCAGCACTTTCACCTTTGATTACTATAAGATTATTGCTGTACAAGTGATAATATTTTTCTGCAAACTCCCTCAAATACAGTCAAATCACCTTATAAAGGAAACCAAGGGAACAGAACCATGCTCAGTTAAAAGTTGTTCTGTACAGAGGTGGGATTAAAGAGAACTGTCCGTAATAGACAGGCGTTCGTGAAGAGGACGACGGCTGGGGGGTGGGGTAGGGTTTGACTTTATAATAACAAAAATGCAAATAAAACCATTGCAAAAAAAATTTTTGTTAAGTTTCTGCTAAAAGGTGTCTTTTTTTTAAAAAAAAATTAAAGTGGTAATAACATTTACACTAACTTATGCTCACCAGTACATGACGTTCCGTTACCAGTGTATCCAGAATTACAGGTGCAATTAAACGATCCATCGGTATCAGTGCAAAATGCATCAGGATCGCAGTCATGGGCGTTTGTTGTACACTCGTTGATGTCTGGAGAAGATGACGCAAAATTACTTCACAGTGATGAAAGCATTTCAAATATTTATTATCAGTAATTCTATGATTGAATAACAGCACTGTTATGTATCGGATCTGAGTTTCTGAGGATGAGATCGGGTTATCATTTCATAGAGAGCGAATAATAAATTTTAACACTTGCACATGCGCTCAAATGCTTTTGAAAATGAAAGTATTAAATATAATTTTAGATTCGAAAACGTCGAAGCACGCCAAGGTAGTTACTTCAATTGGTGGAGATAGCTGACGAAATGAATACGTCATAATTCAATATAACCACTATTTTTTATCCACCATCTTGGATTTTCGGTTTACTTGAAAATTATCCAGAATGATTTCAAAAGCAGTGGTATGTTGTTAACTCGCTGAGTGGCTGGTTGTCTTGGAAACGTAAAACATCATGTAGAAACATGTCACGCAATTCTTTTAGTTTATATGAGAAAATTGGCAATATGAGTTTTTATGAAAGCTTTTAGTTCATTTTGAAAACCGGGTCATTCGGCTCAGTGCTATGGCAGCAAGATGATCGTTCGAGCCTTAACTTTAATACCCTCAAGTCTCAGGATCTGATACTAACTGAGTTCAGTGTGCGAAGCGTCCATTGTGAAAGTAAAGGCAACTGGGCCATTAAATGTCCATAAGACCGCTCTTAAGTGTTTGGTTTTAGAGGGTAATGGCTCGCATGATTGGGCCTTTCGTTTAAGATGTTGACATGGATTTAGGTAAATGCTCATTCCAAATAACAGCTTAGCTGGTAGTAATACTGTCTATAGTGAAACTCACGTTTACTACATATACTCACTATCGCAAAGTAAACCAGTTCCATTGTATCCAGAGTAACAAGTGCAGTTATGAGACCCAATCGTATTGTTGCAATAGGCATTGGCATCACAAGAGTGGGTGTTAGTTGCGCACTCGTCTAAATCTGAAAGGAACCAAAGTTGTTGTTTCTGCATCGAATCGCGTGAAATACTGTATATTCGAGGTTGGCAAGATAACATGAGACAATGAGTAAGGTCAATTTTAAACGGAAGCGATCGCATTGGAGATTCTCAGTCAATAAAGGTTAACACTTTGGCCATAGTTGTGCAATCCAATCATTGGGAATTTGAAGAATGTTGCAGTTGCAAAAAAGGAGGTGTTATTTAACTTGCCGACGTTTAAACCACGTAACCTCACATACTGTATCGGTGCTTGAGTACTTTGAAGCAATGAGAAACTAGCAAGACTTAAGGACATCGTAAGGAACTGTACATGTTATAGAAAAGTAAACAACAAAGCTAAGAGAAAATGGATGGCTTAAAACCAGCGACTCAAAAAAAACTTTTTGTTACCGCCTTATTCCACAGAATCTTTATCATTTTCATTTACCAGTGCACCATGTCCCATTTCCGGTGTAACCTGGATTACAAGTGCAGTTGTGAGAACCCATGGTATTATTGCAGTAAGCGTTAGGATCACAGTTATTATAGCCGGTTGAACACTCGTTGATATCTTAGAAAGAAGAAAAAAAGGCAGTGATCGTTAAAAATTGAAGAATTGTTTTGTTAATTGAGGCTAACTATGGGCATGAGTCAGTGGAAGGGCGAGCAGTTTGAAAACGTAAGTAATGAGCTTCTTGCCTCAAGTAAGAGAATTCAAGAGAGTCTTGGAATCTAGATTCAACGACGTGGAAACCGGATTCCAGGAACTGGATTCGATTCCGAATTCTAACGGTTAGCGGGAGGCCGGATTCCACACGCAAATACCTTCGCCCAGAAAAGAATACAACAACATGCAAATAAAGGAATTTATAACACTGTTTTGTTTGAAAATCAATTTTAAACCTCTATTGCGGCGCCCAGAAATGGTAGTAATGAAAAGCCTAGAACATTCGGCGAAACACGAGGCTATGCCGTCAGCATTTAAACATAATGCCAGCCAGACACCATTGAACAAAGGCAGCCCTTTTCGTGAAGAAACTCACCAGTGCAATTTTTTCCATCTCCAGCAAATCCAGAGTAACAAGTGCAGTTATGAGATCCGATGGTATTATTACAATAAGCATTGGTATCACACGAATCGGTGTTATCTGCACATTCGTTAACATCTAATGGAAGAAACGAATGTAAAATATCATAAATCGATTACATTGGGCCAGATGTAGAGGTCCATTCAATATTTATTTGATTATTTACTTATATATCAATTTATTTATCTAGTATCTTTATTCATTCATTCATCTATCATTTAGTTCTTTATTTATTCAAACCACAAAATAACTGAACCCGTTCATTTTATAGCACATAACTCATTACATGAAGTCTAAATGTGAAGAAAGCAAACTCGAGCTCAAAGCGGACTTAATCCTTTTTGTTATAACGAGCATTCTAAAACTGTACGAGTACTATACCCCAAAAAACACTTGTCAGATCTCTTGAACGAGTGAATATAAAACCAACCTTGTTCCCAAGGTCCCCAGGGCGTTTCCCGGTAAAAGTCTGGGGACCAGTTTGGTGGAAAACTCGGAGTAACCCTCCCCTAGCTCAGCATGGTAACCTCGGGTTTGAGGCAGTCTCCAAGAACTTTACAAAGGTAGGCCTTGCCTTATAACTATAAAAGAGCAGAAGTTGATACTCACCAACACACGTTGTTCCATTTCCAGAGTATCCAGATAGACAAGTGCAGTTAAATGACCCCACGGTATTGTTGCAAAAAGCGTTATCATCACAATTATCAGTCTGGGCTATACACTCGTCAACATCTAAAAAGAAATAAATAATAAAACATGGGCTGAATTATAAATTGTCTTCTGTACAGCTCTTTTTCTAGTATTTCATATTTTAAAAAAAATTAAGGTAAAAGGATAGTAGATAAAGTATAGAAAAAGCTGATCAGAACTGTTCAATCTGTACTATACAGACAGACAGACAAAGGGAAGAACAGGTAGGTAAACTAAAAGAGGGACAGGAGGTAGAACTTAAACGAACTCGTCAATATCTAAAGAAGAGAAACAATTAAGGCAACAATATCTTTGAACTGGACAGAAACAGAAAATCAAAGAAAACCTTTCACGAACAAATTCGATTTAATTACATCCGTGTGTGTAAACATTTTATGTAATTTGACAAATAAGTTATGTAAGCGTAGGCGATAAAGAAGTGAGTCAGCTATAAAATTCAATTGACAATAAACATGGTCCTCGTTCACCTGAACACGTTTGCCCATCTCCTGTATAACCAGAGTTACAGGTACAGTTGTGTGATCCAATGGTATTATTACAATAGGCGTTTGCATCACAAGAGTGGTTGCCCGTTGAACACTCGTCAATATCTAGAAAAGAGAGACGGAGACACCATTACTTAATGAAGAGCAGTAGTGAAAAATCGAATCGAGACCTCGGAATCTTTATAACAAAGTGCTACAGTTTGACTATAGTGAAACAAAGTGAAACAAATACGTTAAAATAAAAACGAGGAAAAAAATTTTCTTAATTACCAGAGCAGTTTCTTCCATTTCCAGTGTATCCAGCGTGACAGGTACAGTTGTGCGATCCAATAGTGTTGTTGCAATAGGCATTGACATGGCACGAATGGGTCACGCTCGCACACTCGTCAATATCTAAACAATATTAATAAGCAATTAAATGTGAATGAAGAGTGATAAAATAATATGGCTTTAATAGGCCATTAGGCCATATTGGCGTCATTTTAATACGAATACGACCAGAATCTTCCATGGTTTTGGTTTCTTGTACATATTAGGGCTTTTGTTATTTAAAACTTCCTGGGATAGTCGTAGTAGTAAAATGATGACATCGCGCAAATAGCATCGCGTCGCAGTAACTGCTAATTGATATAAATTGAGAAAGCATCCTGAAAACAAGAGGGCGGGAATTGGAGTGCAAGTTGATGATGACCAGACACTTCTTTTGTTGAAAAAATCTTCGTTGACTTCCTATGAGGAATACATACCTACAACCAGGGACAAAAGTAGTTGACACACTTGTTTAAAACGGGTGCTTTTAACAAACATTTAATTCATCTATTATTTCATTCCTTTTAAACGCCGTAAATCCCCCGACCCCCCGAATCAATGTTGTCTGAAGTAAAAAAAAGACTTGAGGGTCCAAAATTCAACATTGATTTTGGGGGGAAGGGGTTGGGGTAGACAGGGGAAGGGGATAAGTATATCCACTATGCAAAAAGGGGCCATTTTACGGAAGTGTGTCAACACTTTTATCCCTCATTGTAGCCCTCATCAAGACATATATGTCTAGATAGATATGTATGTTTATCTGTGTTGTTCCTTTTGGCTTCGCAATTGCTCCAGCAAAGTTTTACGTCCTTGTGACGTTTGTTTAGGGAGGACAAAATTAAGCTCTAATCACTAGTGACGAAAGTGATAAATGAGCTTTTAATAAGTGTTTTACAACTTTATAAGAATTTTCACTCTTGTAGTTTTAGTTGTCGTTGTATATTTTTCGTTTTGTTAACTGTTTCGTCTTTTTTTTTACGTGCTAGCAAAAAGCCAAAGCAATGTATCGGTGGAGTTTAATTTTGTCTATTTATAGTTGATTTGTAATAGAATTTCAGATCTACCGATATAAAATATCATTTTTACCGCTGCATGATGTTCCATTTCCAGAATATCCCTCGGTGCAGGTGCAGTTAAACGATCCCACAGTGTTGTTACAGAAAGCATTGGAATCACAATTATGATACCCCGTTGTACACTCGTTGACGTCTGAAACGGAGGTAAAAAGATATGCATTACATATTAGCATGCATTTTAATTGAATGATTGCTGCGTATTAAGCCTTCCATTTCAATAGCTGAACTTAGCATCCGATTTAAGAGGCCCGAATGAAAGGTTTGTGGATAAAGCTGACCGTCAAACAGTTTGTCCAAAATTCATGATCAGTATTTGACACCAACTTTCCTATTCAGTTATCGAATCAATCAGATTTGTTATTTCGCCCCCAATTAAAGAAAATGCCGTTCGATTTGGAGCGTGAAAATAAAGACATCGTGTTTCTTCTTTTATGAATTTGACACGATGATCAGAAAAGACCTATCTGACTCATGGTGTTAAATTTGGTGAAAGTTGCGACCGCGTGCTATAAAAATTTTCAAGGCTTCACACAACCAAGACTTATGCTCACACTTTCCGCGCGTAGTAGCGCATTGCTGAAAATTGGGCATTTTATTATGTATATTCTATTTCATTTGGTCAATGCAAAAATATTGCGATGAGCACGTTTGTTTTCATTAACCTTCACATGTTGTTCCATTTCCGGTGTATCCTGGATTACAAGTGCAGTTGTGGGACCCAACGGTATTGTTACAGTAAGCGTTGACGTCACAGTTATCGGTGTTGGTTGCACACTCGTTAATGTCTAAAAAGAAAAAGAAAGGAGCGAAATTAATGACTATATCACTGTGGAAACTGAGTTAAGGCCAGTTTTCTTGGCATCCTCTACTTTATAATCCTTTCCAAAGTTTTAAGGCTGTTTTTACCACTGTTTAAAACCGTGAAATTTCACTTCTTTTACGAAGCTCTTTTCAGAACTGGCTGGTTGTTTCTGTTGCCTGTTTGTTCATTTTTACACCCAGAGTCTACCATCTGTTCAGAGGACTTCCAGGCGGCGCTCTTTCTCAAAGGCGTTCCCAGAATAAAGGCTTGTGAGAAGTAAACAATTAATTAGGCGTTTTTCATGGATCTTTGAACGAAGAATTTCCTAAAACAATCAATTTCACAGGGTCAGGACATTCATTATCATTCTTTCACAAGTTTCTTGGTGGGGTGATAATGGTAAGGCTCCAAAGTTAGCTCTAACGTTTGAACAAGGAAAATTCGAATTCTTTAAAGTCCTCTCTCAGTTCTCTTACATCTTTCTCGCTCGTTTAATAACCACCTAGCCTGGTCACAGATTAGATTTCAACTGTCTTTTAACCTGCCTACAAGGGTATGGCTTTACCGAAGAGATTTGGCGCCGCAAGAATCAACTTTCCTTGCAGATAAAAAAATGCTCTAAGAGATTATAAACCACTCAGCACACCAAAACTATTACCGGCAAAATAAATAAGGTAACGCTCAAAATATAAATTAAAAGACATTTACCAGCACACGATGTTTCATTTCCAGAGAAACCAGGACTGCAAGTGCAATAATAAGATCCAGCGGTATTATTACAAACAGCATTGGCATGGTTACACGTATGGGCGTTAGTTGCACACTCATCGATATCTAGAAAAATAAGTTCAAAGAATGAAAACGTGCTTTATTTCGCATGAATTTTTATAACCATCTTAGGACTACTCTGGCTTATTAAACTGGCTAAACCATGGAGCGGGGGATAAGCATATAAAACAGTCAGACTCTCATTAAATCTCTTAATTGTCATAATAATGTTTAATTCTAATTGGAGACTAGCAGCCGTAGTTCCACTTTTGCTTGTTTTACGCGGGGTCGCTTCGTGATTTATCCACACTTGAAGTCTGTTTCTAGCCAGAGGAGATTGTAACTTAACTCTGTTCTAGAAGATGAGGCTGTAATATTTACCAGTGCAGTTTTGTCCATCGCCATTGTATCCAGAATAACAAGTACAGTTATGAGATCCAACGGTATTATTACAGAATGCATTGGCATGACATGAATGAGCGTTAGTTGCGCATTCGTCAACATCTGAATAAAGAAGAAAATATGCAAATATACATTAAAGGGTTTATCGAATAACGCTTTTATTTCCTGGAGAAAAAGCAAAACCATCGGGACAGAAAAAAACACAATTGGTAAGATAGAATTTGTCCAAAATTTCTGTCAGTAAACAGACTACGATGGTTCCACCCAAAATCATTTTTTTAATCACTATTTATCCCACGCAAATCACTCACTAAGGATAAATTCATGTTTTAAAGATCGATGTTCGATTGCTCTGCATATTCTGCTAAGTGTACACCTACGCACTGAGCCAAACGAAGAAAACGTAAACATTATTAGTTCATGATAAGCTCGAGTAGCTGAACATCTTGCATTCCACCCAATCACAGTGTTATCAAAAGTCAAACTAACGTGTGAAATATCCTCACCTATTATGCTCTTATCCTGGTTTCTAATACATCTTCACAGGCGCGCGCACATTTTTTTGGAAGGTTATTTTTAAGGAACTAGCAAGACCTGCGACGTAATATAAGTGGGAAAATTTTGATCTGTCATGTGCTTACGCAATGAAAGTTCTTGTCTACGGGGAAGCGCGAGAAAATTTTTCTCCCTTCTTCAGCTTAATATTTACCAAAGCATACTGTTTCATTTCCAGAATATCCAGAACTGCAGCCGCAGTAATAAGAGCCAGCGGTGTTGTTACAAACAGCGTTGGAATGGGTACAGGTATGGAGATTTGCTGTACACTCGTCTACGTCTAAAAGGAGAAGGAAAAAAATTTACACACATATGCTTTAGATGACTTTAAGAAAGCGTTTAATGTTTTTTTCTAGATATAAAAACGTACACTCCACAAATTAAAGTATACGTACAGACAGTGCTTTTTTTCCAGATATAAAAACGTATACTCCATAAATTAAAGTATACAAAGTGACAAAAGTAAAAACAACAAAAAGATACAAAAACAATCAAACAACGAAGCTAAACAAAAAGGGGGGAGCGGGTGATAAAAACATTGATAAGAACACGGTATTAAAAACTGCTTATAGTCAGTCAAATGAAATTAAAAGCCGCACAAAACTAATGTTACTTCCTTTAGTTATACGAATATACTTTTACCGGTATATTTTATCGGCAAACAATATATATTGCTTGAATAGATGTTTTCTCTATTCGTGCAGTGAAAATAAATTAGCACGAGCCTAATCATTCTCCTATATACAGGTCGCAACTGTTACTAATTATTGCAAGAGATTATATGCTGTAGAAGCTAAACGCAGAGCCATTTTATTCTAAACATCGGTAGCAGAGGACGCACTATTAATGCAATGACGATCTGTTTATACAGAAAAACCAAACGTTAGTCAAGGCATAATGGCCGTTTTCACACCAGAGAAGGAACGAAAAAACGTCAAGGCGGATAATCCGTCTGGTATATTTTCCATCTTAATACATAGAGGATATTACACGGTGGCGCGAAGATATGAATTTTATTTTCGAGTGGCAAAACAATATTTTACGAAAGAGCGCAGCGAGTGAGTAAAATATTGTTTTTGCCAAGAGAAAATGAAATTCATATCTTCAAGCCGCCGTGTAATGTTCTTTTTATTATATAGACAAAAAGACATCGATAAAATAACAGAGGGAAATGACCGAAATTACGTCATCGATAAACTCACGTGTGAGATTATGGAAAATAACCCACTCGGGTCCTGGAAGTAGTTTTTATGAATTTTACGAGTGGTATATTTTCCAGTAAAACACTCGTGTCTATATAATAAAATAATATAATATGAGTTCCAAATTGGCCTTGCCGCGCCATATTCACATAAGACCGAAGTGTCATGCCCTTGAAGCTCTGGCGCTGTTACCAATCCATTAAAATGGCAGCAAACGCTTACTTGATGTCAAGAAAAAGGAACTTGAAAGTTCTTATTTACTACTTTATTGAAAAGATTTAAAATTTAGCACTCTGGAAACGCTTCGGAGCCGACCCCTGAGAGGTTGTGCATCCAGTAGTATGTAGCTGGGGTAAGCCCTTAGAAACTCTAAAACAAATGGAAAACGAGGGATCGGGAAACCTTTTTTGGTGGGATAATGATCAGGGTTTTGCTTTTCTGTATGTGATTTTTCCACGTTCGACCCCTTCTTCCTCTTTCATGTTACGATTGCTGATGGCACTTTAGGTGTCATCTAACGCACCCTTTCTAGTTGTAGGCATGTCAGGTAACAACTGGGATCAGTTTATCCATCTGATGTGAATTCAAGACGAATTATCCGTCTAAAAAAAGACGAATCAACAGACGGATGAAATCAGACGAATTATTCGTCCAAATTGAACATCGTCCCGTTTTCACTTGTAGATGGATAATTCGTAGACCTCTAGTGTGAAAACGGCTAATGTTATTTTATATATTGATACCAAATGTCTTTGTTATCTCGCCACATAGTTTTTCATCCGACTCGTTGCCACCTAATCCACTTTTAAGAGCCAATAACGGCAATACTAACCATTGCAATATGTTCCCGTTCCGTTGTATCCAGGATTACAGGTGCAATTGAATGATCCAATGGTATTATTACAATAAGCATTGGCATCACATGAATGGGTATTGGTCGCACACTCGTCAACATCTATAGAGAGAAATATCGGTAAATGATAATGACAGGTTGACAAATCAAGAAAAGCGCGCAAACAGAGATATTATAAGTCCTTTCAACATTTAATCCATAGATGCACAAGAGGAAAAGGGTATGGATTCCAACTAGTGATGGTCATTTTTCCTTGTTTTGTTTGTTTGTTTGTTTGTTTGTTTGTTTCATCTTTTAAACAGTTTTGTATAACACGGCAAGGACCATGATGGGTTTTGATGTATGGATGTGGTGAATAGCACTTAATCCGCTTGCTTTTCTGTATAATCAGTATTTTCGCTAAGCTAGCCAAAGTCCACGCTCCCTGCAGCATCTTTCTCTAAACTGGTCAATTCAGCTCCAGCAGTCAATGTTGGTTTTAAATCCATCCTATAGCCGCTTTGTAATTAGTCAAAATTAAGTTTCAAAATTTTCTTTTCATTTTGGTGCCTAAGCTTATGTATGTTTTTCTTAGTGATTTCGCTGCTATAGTTCTTGCATGCCTCATAGGGCATGGAGGAGCTTAAGCCAGCATATAAGTGGCATGGGCTTCAAGTTTATGGCGGGATTTGTTGCTCGCAAAGCATAGGACCAGGTGTTTTTGTTTAGGCTGCAAAACTGTACGACGAGAAAACATAAGGCGACTATCTTACCGATGCAGTTCTGTCCATTTCCGGTATATCCAGACATGCATGCGCAGTAATGTGATCCAATGGTATTTTGACATGTTGCATTGGCGTAACATGAATGTGTGTTGCTGGTACATTCGTTTATATCTGAAAAAAAGAAAGCAAGAGTATTTAAGAGTGAATGAAACCGTAAACTCCATGCGTTCACCGTTTGAGCCGGGGGATAACCTGCAGAAGCGGGTGCATTTATGAGAACCGCATTTTTGAGTATCACGTTGACCCCATTTCTGGGTAAGATCTCCTGACTTTTCTAGACACTGATAAACCGTCGAAAAAACGCTGAAAAGATGCACAGCATAGACGTTTTTGAGAAAAACAAGGCACTAATTTCAATCAATATATATCTATATCTTTCCATTTTGGTTATATTGGTACACTTCTTGGAAGCCTCGTGAATTCTTTTTAATTTTTTGTTGTTGTTGTTCATTCGAGAAAGATCTGAACTTCATAGAGAACGAAATAAAACAGTAAGTGTACGTAAGTTCTTGTTGTTTCAGCATATTTTTGATCGGTGAAATACTATAATGTATTCCAAATACATTCGCAAATGCATTTTGGTGAACTCGGCTTCTCCGTCGAAACTCAGGCAAAAAGATCGAGCAACTAGGGGTGACTTTCGTAATACATGGGATTAGCCGGTTATTATAAACGGGCAACACCGAGATGTTGCTCTTTTATGTCATTTCATTCTGAGCTGAAGTCATTTTTTAATGAATAAACCCATACAAAAATTGTTCCTTTAGAGTTATGAAAAATATATCAAACCAGCTTCATCAGGGAGCACTATAACCTTAATATTTGAAAACTCGAAAAAGTTGGTCCAATTTGTTTATAGGTTTCAGTCCATGTTTATCCTTGTCATCCTTAGCAATAGACGGTAGGAAACAGATTCAGTGCCTAAACTCTTCAAACAAACCTGGACCAAATGATGCGAAGACGGATTTTAGTTTTTCAAAACTATAGCAAATTGCATATCATAGCCCTTAAAAATCACAGCCCAGAAATGTCATTACCACTGCAAGTTTGACCATCTCCAGAAAATCCAGGAAAGCAGTTGCACGTAAAAGATCCCAAGTTATTTGTACATGACGCATTTAAATTACACCGATGAATGTTGGCTGTACACTCGTCGATATCTTGAATAAGAGAAAAGGAAAAGCAAATGAGGAGAGTATTTACAGGGGCGGATCTAGGGGGAGGTTGCAGGGGGTGCGCATTCCCCCCCCCTCCCCTGAGATGACCTGCGGTTTTCTAATACAACTGGTATTCTGCAAAAAAAAAATGTGGTGTATTGGTGTTGAAGAAGAGCAAGAGACAAGTGCACCCCCTCCTAAAAATATTCTGGATCCGCCCATGATTTAAACTAACAGAGTAATACAGTAAAAAACCTCGACTAAGGCCTTTATTTTCCCAAGTTAGCCTTCACAGGTTCTTTGATAAATGTTTGCTCAAGAGCACACTTCTTAGGTTCTTAAATAGGTTCTTATTTTCTGAAGAAAAAAAATACATTGTAGCTAAGAGCATTAAGTGGTGTTCACCTCAAACCCTGTATACCTGTTTGGGATTGCAATAATTGCAGTTGGAGTCGTAAGACACCTAAGCCTCCAAAGAGGTTCCTGAATGTTGACTTATCCTATTTGCCCGAGTGTAAATAATTTTCGATTTTAAAAAATAAGAACCCGTTTCAACTTTTAGGCCAAACAGGTTCTTGTATTTGACAAGGGGTCTAACTGGCAAATTTTATCTTAAAAGGCTTTTAAAAACCAGGTTCTAAGTCAGATTTTCACTGTAGTTTATATTGCATTAATTTAAGCACCTTAAGTCAGTCTCGGCGGTAAGAGAGTATGAAGGGGCCCCGTTCATGATCTCTAGGCTCGGACGGGTCCGAGGGTTTGAACCCGTGAACTTCAATATATTCTGGTTCCAGTTCGGCACAAATTGAGCTTTTAAAAACCTTCCGTGATTGAGGATACTAGGAAGTCGGGAATAAAAAGGGTTTTGAGCGTGGCCGATCAGGCCACCAATGTAAAATACTTTCGTTGCTCTCCTCAGTAACGGTCCTTTGAACAATAAGTTTTTCATAGACCGGCAAGCAATACTAAGTAAAAATAGGCCGTTCATGAGCCAGTTGTATCGAATTTATTTCAATGTAATCGTTTATAATCATATTAGTTGTATCAGACTTGTTCAATCAGAGTTGTTCAAAATCAGAGGGAGAAAGAGGGCTAGCCAGACTTCCAATTTGCCTTACCTCTTTCCTTTAATTTTACCGAGACCACCACATTAAAAGAGTTTTCAGCTTCGCGTATACGGCAAACGGCGAACGTCAGATTCAAGTTGAGACTTTCTCAAAATAGAAAATGAGCAGATAAAAACAGCTCAAAACAATTCTTATGGATGAAAAATCACGTGAAACTACTAATTTATGTGTAGAAATAATGAACAGTAAACGACAAGTAATGGGAAAACTTGGTCACGTGGTACAAAGTCGCGTTTGCCGTTTGACTTAAACGAGATGATCAACCTCTCTATTGATCGCCTGTATAACATGAACACTGGCCTGGTTACTTAGTTCATAGACTAACGATCTGTGGAGAGGTCAAAAGACTATTGGCTCTTAGCAAAACCCTGTCACGTATTTGGATAGAACTTATCAACGGCTCACTGGATAGCAAGCCATCCAAGGGTTCATTTGAGGGCCATCGATAAGCATTCCTAGTTTAATTACTCTGTTGAAAATAAACCGACATGACTAGACTACAAGACTTAAAGACGTTTCAATTAACCTAAGAAAGCTTCGCCCGATCACACCGAACGATTTGTGATCTGAATGAACGTTTGAATGGCTTGCCGTTCAGCGAGCCGCTGTTAAGCGGCCCAAGCATGTGGCTAAATCGTGCAAAGGACCAATCGCGCTCGTTGTTTTCTGTAACTATTTCACATCATGATTCTGTCAATGAAGCTACAGTTTTTACTACTTACCCACGGAATATAGCTGGTATTACATAATCTAATGAACTTATCACGACAGGAAACAAATCGCCCCATGTTGGGGAATCCAAGAGACCCTTGGTGATCCTGGATTCCACGCCTTGGATTCCAGATACCAGGTACTGGATTCAGGATTCTTTGTCAGTGGAACTTGGATCCGAATTCCAATCGTTAGTGGGATTGCGGATTCCTTGATCTGTATTCCGGATTCCAAACGCCACGATCATCACAACCGGGGGGGAGGGTACTTCCTTATAAGAGGCTAATGGGCATGTGCCGCTGGATGGGGTCGCATTTTCACGACTGGATTGACTATAATGGAGTGGATTTTTAATAGACTTACTAGAATGGGGTCGCACATTCTCTGATTCTTGGGGTAAGACAGTTCTTCATATTTACGGTTAGCAAACGTACCAGAATGTTTGTATTGTAGGTGAAAAGTAAAGTGTTCTTCATTCAATATAAGGCCTGTAGATACACAAATAGGAAGTGACTAAATTGGGATCGCGGAAATTACACATTTGCCCAAAAGTGACTGAGATAGCGTCTATAATTGGCCACAGAATGGACTATAATAGGGTAAGGGCTCCGAGAGGCCAGCGGCACATATCCCCCCGGGTCATGACGATTCCAGATTCCAAAAGAGAAATTTTCCGGATTCCGGGTTCGACGAGAAAACGAGTCCCGGAATGCGGATTCCCTTACATCGGGGCGAAACAATGCATGGAAGTTCATGAATTTGTTACTTACCAGTACACCAAGTCCCATTTCCGTAGAATCCACGCTTACAGACGCATAAATAAAACGCTTCGGTGTTGTAACATGACGCATTGACATGACAGGTGTGGTCGTTGTTAGCACATTCGTCAATGCCTAGCATGGAAAGAAAAACGAATATTTGAGAGAGTCAAAAGGAGGTTCTTACTTGGTGTTACTAAAGCAAGAATTTATGCTAATTAGCAGTTGCAAATGTCTATACTGAAAAAAACCATAAAACCACGAAACCGTGTAACGACTGTAACTACGAAAGCATGATGAATCCACATCTACTAATTAGCATAAATTCGTCGAATGCTAGCTGTTGACTTTTTTTGCGTTGTAGGATAAGCAAAAGCAGTCATTTTTTTAAGGTACAAGGCAGGAGTCCCATATATGGGTTCCTGACGAAGTCAGTAGTTACAGTACATCGATGCTGCCCCGGTGTTGCAAGCGGCCTTTGAGTTCAATTTTTTTTGTCGCAACTTTTATCCATAGGCCGTTTGCACGATGGCGTCATTTGACTACTACGAACAGGATCCTTCTCGTTTTTCCTTGGTAATAACAAAAGACTGAATAGCGAGGAGACGTCATTTCGTTACGTTTCCATGTAAGTACCGCAGGGAAAAAAAAGCGTTAATAACTTTCCTGTGCTAGTCACAGGGTCCAGAGGGGATGTGTTTGTCGTTAGAACATCAAAACCCGTCGAAAACCTCTGAAAAAATGGGTTATTTTGATCGCGTTACGGTTTCGTTACACGTTCTATAGACTGCAAACCAAGAGACTGAGGGCTCGCAAGATCGGCTTACAGTATAAAATACGGAAAGGGAGGAAACAAATTTGGGGCCGATTTTCGAATCCCTGAAACTCAAATGGAATTCAATGAAATCGCCTGATTTTACTAACCTGATCTAGAATTCTTATGTATTTGCCAAATACTGTAGGAAAACGGCATAAGAAAGCGTTCAAATTCATTTTCGGCGACCGAAATTTACGGCTTCTAGAGAGCGCTTTCGTTCGGTGTGCACCGCAACACATGGTGACGGAAATGACGTAGTAAAGTAAATGTGTTCAAGATCGGAGCAATAAAAGGGAAGCCTACACGACGTTTGTCTCATGCCAAAATGCTGCTCTTTCCAATAAAGTTTTTTTCCTCTGCTGGGTAGATTATGCTCTGGAAGGTTCTACAGCAAATGTGATTTTAGCGGGGATTTTAGCCGCATGTTTCACACTGAGAGGTCATGACACATATCGATTTACTGTGGTTATTGTTTCTGGTCGGCAGGATTTGCCCTCTGATGCAAGCGCAATTTCTCTGACCTCTTTTGAAGCGTAAAGCTTTTTATTACAGCTGAACAAGGGTTCCAGTTTTCTCCAAAGTGCCTTCTGGATCTGAATAACTAAGCGATTTTCTCTAGTCCGTGAATGTAATGTTTTTCTTCAATGCTGTATCACGCTGGGCCCAGCTTGTTAGTTTTGTTTGGAGAATGTTAAATTATTACGGATAGTGATTTACGGGTCGTGTGTACTCTTGCAATAAAAAGTAACACTGAGTAGAGCGGGCGTACAAGGCAACTGTAATATCATCACGACTGTGCCATTCTTCGGTGGTCCAACTATATTACCTCTTGCGTCTTTGGCTGTGCGTTTTGCGACTACTGGGAAGCCTTCGCACAAGCAAAACCTGCTTAAGACATCGAAGACTGTGGAAACGTACAACAAATGTCCAGTCTTGAAAGATCTTCACTTCAATTAAAACTCTGTTGTTTTCGCATAGATCTCTGAGATCTTTAAAACTCTCTCCGCAGCTGATGTTTTGATTCTCGAATTAGCAGCGGTCTGTTGCTTTTGCGTTTCCGGTCTCATTCCGACTTCCGTCACCGAGTGCTGCGGTTCACATAGAACGAAGTCACGCGGTGCAAGTTTCCTCCCTTGTCCTTTCTTTTACTCGGCACTTCGTGCCTCGGTCGCCCTCCGGGCGACGGCCTTCGGTCACCCTTCGGGCGACGTGCCGTGCGCCAGCAAGGATATGGCTAGTCTGCTACACAGCCGTTTTTAGTGTCGTCACGCAATGCTCCTCCCCACAAACGGCTGCTGAAAACCGAACTACATTCCTTTCCCTTTGTGTTTGTGGTCTAACGAACAAGCCAATCATGTACAAGAAGTTTGACAATACGTGAGCCGCGGGGCGCTAGGAAGCGAGCACGCTTCTCAGTTTTCGACAAATCAATCAATCGTCGCTGAATTTAGACGGGCTCTGTGTTTTCAAGCAACGAAAAGGTTAATTTGCAAAAAAGTTTGTTTTTAACGGTCAAGAAAGTTCCAAGTGAAAAAAAGGTTTGATAGGCCTAGAAGACTTACCAGGATCGGTTGGCTCTTCATTTAAC